GAAAGCAATAAAAGGATACCCTTGAACGCAAAAACTTTATTAAATATCTTGGACTGTTAATCGATGAAAATCTATCTTGGAAGACCCATATTGTAAATAAAATAAGTAAAACAATTGGGCTGATTGCGAGATTAAGACATATTGTTCCCACTTGCACCCTCTTAAATATTTATCAGTCACTTATTACACCTTATCTAACTTACGGTCTTATCTCTTGGGGCAACGCGTGTAAAACGTTCCTTGACCAAATTCTTGTCCTTCAAAAACGCGCACTGCGTTTAATATATTTTGCTGAAACAAACGATCACGCAATACCTTTTTTTGTCAATGCAAAAATTCTACCTTTACAGTCTCTATATTATGAATCCGTTTGTAGTCTTATGTATGATGTAAATAAAAACACTGCTCCGCATAATATTTTGAAACTCTTCTCTCGAATTTCTAGTGTTGACATACTTACAATACACGTGCCTCAACCTCTGAACATTTTTATACTAAAGAATCTCGACTCAATGTCAAACGAAATGCTTTTTCGCGTGTTGGGGTCAAAATTTGGAATAGGATACGTCAAATTCTTAAAGAAAGACCGAGAAAACCTTTTAAAAGATCACTAAAAGAAAAGCTACTCGATATCCTTGAAACTGAAGACTCCTATATTGATGTGGATACGATCATCGTGAAAGTGAAAAAGTAATTCTCTTGTCCTTTATTTTCATTTTATTTTATTTTTAAAATTCCACTTTAATATTGTCCTTGCATTTAAGTAGAATAGTATCTATTTAATGTAAAATGTATGTACTTAAATAACGTCTAATTTCTTTGTATTTGTCTAGTTTGTAGTAAATTTTGGAGCCTGGCCTGCATCGAATAGCCTCGCTAACTGCAGGCCAGTCCCAATGTATCTTTTGCTATATTTCCAAATTTAAATAAAGTTGAAAGTTTTTTGAAAACCTTTACATCAACTTATCGCTCGCTGCTTAGCATAAAATATCTTTTAGAGAAGTAATTCCGGCCAACAGAGAGGGTATCAAAAGTACCTTTAAACTCTCACGCAAAAGCAACCGTTGATCAGCTGTTCTGCTGTTGATTAATTTATTCGGTTTCAAAATGTTTTAAAATCTTGCAAACTGCTTGGAGTTCACATCAATGAACATCTTAAGTGGGAAGATCACATCAAGCACACGGTATCAGGATGCTACGCCACTCTATCAATACTAAGAAAACTGAAATATCTCGCCAAATATGAGCTTAGAAAGCAACTAGCAGAAACATTGATTTTGTCAAAACTAAATTATGCCGATCTGGTTTTTTACCCTGCTCTACCACAATTCTTACTTCGCCGTTTGCAACGGATTCAATTTGCTGCCGCAAGTTTTGTACTCGGTCACTATGTTAAGAACTTTCGGGATGTACTTAAAATCGGTTGGCTTCCAATCAATGAGAGAAGAAATTTGAATCTCCTCAAATCATGCTTTAAAGCTTTGCATAACACTGAGACTTGGCCAGATTATCTTAAAATAGCAAAACAGGAATGTCGCAAGGAACTGCGCTCAAGCAATTGTATGAGATTTGTGGTCCCGACCGAAAACGGCACTTTCCAAGATATTGCGTCGAAGCTATTTAATAATCTACCAGAAACTATTAGAAACTGTCAAGATTATAAAACATTCTTAAGACGTTCAAGGAATTTTTTAAGTAACAGAGTACAGAGTAATTAGTTAGTTTTACCGTAATCCTGCTTCTACTTTTAATTGTACATTGCATAATTTGTAAATAACTTGATTTGATTTATTTTGTAATTATCGTAATTGATGTAATTTAACAGGGAAGAGCCACCCAGTGGATCTGTTAATAAACCATTATTATTATTATCATTGTCATTATTATTGTTATTATTATTATTATTATTATTATTATTATTATTATTATTATCTCGCAGTATAAAACTTTGGAATGCTGTCCACATTATGAGTAGTATAGGGCGCATAACGTAGCCTACACCACTTGAGAAGCTATACTTAGAAGTAAAAAAAAGGTCGGTGCGAAACCTAATACAATCCTAATATACATAATGATATGAATCTCTCTACTTAAAAAGCCAATTTGAGATATTATTAAATTCTTATACTCTGTAAAACCTACGCAAAGACATGATGATATAATTATCTCTAAAAGCCTGTTTAGAAAATTATTCAGTTTTTACACTCTCATTATCTCTTATATACCTAAACAAGGCCATCATAATATGGTTATCTCTAGTAAAAGCCTATTTAGAATACTATGAAACTCTAATACTCTAAAAAAACTCTTAGTAAAAACATCAGCAAACTTGTGTTTCTGGATTTCTAGAGGAAAGAAAAAAAAAAGAAAACCTAAAAACTGGAGTCCTTAGCGCCCTAACTAAGTATTTATCTTAAATGTCCTGGCAACGTTCAAAGTGTTTGAGATGACCGACTTCTGCATCCGCTCAAGTACGCCCCGTGCTCTCGCTCCAAGTAGCTTCCTCACCGACTTTTCTAGGTGTTTAGAGTAACCACCCAGTACGTAATAATAATAATTATTATTTTTATTATTATTATTATCATCACCATCATCATTATTATTATTATTATTATTATTATTATTATTATTATTATTATTATTATTATTATTATTATTAAAAATCTTCAGCCGTTCGGACAGCTTGAGTGACCTAGTACAAAAATACTTCATCTGATTGATTGACTTAAGTTAAAGTTGTTTATTCAGGGGAAAAAATTCTGCGAGGAGTATGAATGTAGCGTCTACATCTATAAACTATCTCACATTTCACGTCCGAATTATTGAGAAAGCATCTTCCAGACGTTTGAGTTTTCTAAAATACGCACGGCTACATGGATCGACAAGAGCTAACTAAGGGATCTGTGCTGGCTTCAATGCAGGCTTTAATGATCTTATCCCCACCTGTTCAGGCTTATGAATCAGAACACTCTTCTCCTATTTTTTTTTCCATTCGACGTTCTTTCTAAAAAAAGAAATGTTTTGGTTATTCATCGTTGTAAACACAGTGATACTAGAATGAGCTTACCACTGTTTTCGATGTTGTTTAGGTATAACGCATTCACTTCGCATGACACTCAGCTCCAGAACCTGCTCTCAATATTGGGGGGCACCCAACGACAATTTTCAGAAAATATCTGTTCGGAAGACGATTTGTTGTAAAAGGCCTTGCTTGCCTGCCTCTCCTAGGATTTTCGATTTCTAAAAAATGGTATAATTGCCCATTTTTAACGGATTTTTACCCTGAAAAGGTAACCTAGAATTTTCGGGAGCCTTTTTTCTGGCTGAAATTTTCGAAAAGGTAAGTTTTGATCCCTATAATTTTCGGATCAGTAGACTTTCAGCTAGGAAATCCGAACAGATGAAAAATTTTTAGGGGATAAAAATATGCCTATATCTACCGTTTAAATACTAAAATACGTTTTACAATGCTATGTTTAAGTGGTCTGAACTGTATTCTCTTTGGGTACCCCTGAATATTGGTTTTATAATTACATCTTCGTGCGCGCGAGCCTGCATGATGAACCACCACCTACTATACTACCACCCTATTGCTTCAAAGAATGGCGAACCACTCGCCCACCCACTGTATGGAAGTTCCGTGCGGCAATGAGGCTGGTACATCAAGTACAGTCTGTACCTTGAGCTTTCTTCATAAAGTGTGGCGTGACAAATATTAAATATATACATACGTTTCTATTTGCATTTCAAAATTACTTAATACTGTGAACGCTTCCTCTTTGATTTTGAAAAACATTTCAATTTGTAATAATCTTATATACCGAACTCAATTTGGGGACGAATATATTAAGATCCAAGTCAATCTAAACTTTACTCTATTGCAATGTGTTAGGGTTTGGGTAGCCTGTTCGCAGACCCTCTATTTTCTCTTCAACGTCCGTCGAGGGCGGGTGATAAAATTTAAACCGGAGGGGATTTATTGACCGCCAGCGCAAGGGGGTAGTGGTGGGGGAGGTTCTCGCGCGCTTGCTTTGCTGGCGAGCTCGCTGATGTTTTTGAAAAGAACGAAAAGAAAAATAAAACAACGTCTGTGTACAGGCTACAATCCTGGCCAAAAGGGTTTGGGACACTGCTCTTACCCCCTCCCCTTTTTGGTAGGAAATTGGTGAGTGACCGTCAATTTACAGTTGTCAATATGGCTATGCCTGGGTTTCCGCCCCCCCCCTGAATAAAGTTGAAGTTCATACACTTACAAGATTTTTCAAAAGTGTTTGGCCAGTAACACCCAACACTGTCTAGGGGGGAGGGGGATTATTGGAGAATGCACAGATCATGTGTAAGTGACTAAGTGTCCTAAACGTTTTGTCCAGGATTGTTGTAGGTCTGGGTAGGAGAAAGTGGACCTAGATATTGAAAAACAGTTGTCACGAATGATATTGAACAGTTGATGTTAAATGTTTCCACAAACAACTCGACCTGCTAATTGTAGTTCTTTAGACACAACTAGGGTAGATGAGCTTAGTTGGCAGAGATCAAGACCGCAGACCAAATCCTCTGACGCTAGGACTCAGTTTGCCCACACATGTGTTGTCAAGTCAGTCGTAGTTACGGCAAAAATGATCGACAAAGCAGCCTTAAATCTAAAAGAAAGGTTTCCAGACCTGACCTGGTCATCAGGTAATAACTTAGATAACCTTCAGAACTACTTTGGTGATATACTGGCTATAGCATGGCTGTAGTTGAAAAAAAGAATTAGCCGAACAAAGAGTGAATCAAACCTGACCGTTGAATGAGGACTATATGTCACTCGCCGGTCTGCATAAAAGCCTATCAAACAGTTTTGTCTTTGGTGGCGATACCTTCGGACGTTTGCTTGGAGCCGTACATAGAGAAAACCAATAAAGTTGCTCGAAAGGTCGTGTTGCAAAAGACAGCGCCACTTCAAGAACAATAGTTTGCACAGATCCAGAGGTTGTGGCCCACGTCTTCAGGCTATCGATATGGCTACACCCGACGTCCTTTTCCATGCAAACGCCCTTCGCCTCTCTATATCCGTATCAGAGACAAGAAAAAGGGAGAGAGAAGAGCAAGGAACTCAAGGCACGATGACAGCTTTAGTAACTGCGCAAATAACTTACCGAAAATCGTCTATTAAGCCTCCCGGAGGCTTATTTATTTCAAAACCATCATTTGAAGTGGTGGTGGTGGTGGTGGGGGAGGGGGGGGGGGGGGGATAATAGGGGGGGAGGGTTTTTTTGGGGGGGGGGTTATTTATTGGAGAAAAGAGGGTGTGATAGGTTCCAAATAAAAAACCAGAAAAAAAAGGGAAAGGGATCCGTTTGTTGCCACATCTTTTTGGAAATACACAGAGAAAAAAAAAAAAAAAAGGGAGAGAGAAAGAAAAGACACTCAAAGCCAGAGGAAGATTTTGGATACCGAGGAAAACACTTCAGAAAACTTGTTTATTTGTCCCCTGGGAGTGTTTTTTTTTGAAAGGCCGGGGTGGGGGGGGGGGGGGGGGGGGGGGGGGGGGGGGGGGGGGGGGTGCTAATAGAGACGGAAGGCTTATTTGAGAGGGGACTTAATTAATGTAGAAAAGACGATGGTATCAGTTCTCCATAAAGAACTAGAATAAAAAGTGGAAAGGCTCCTCTTAGTTCCCAATCTTTCTTGAGAATGAAAAAGGTGATGCTTTGAAACAAACTCAACCAATTTTTTTTTTTATTCAAAGGTGCCTACAGAAAATCACAGAGGACAAGGCAGAGTGAGTGATATTTGTACCAATTTGAGCTACCCAGACATATTACCCGAGGCGTGTGTGCAAGCTGTTTCATCCACCAAAACTGTAGAGAAGAACGAGGATCTGCTGAGGCTTCCCCATTCCCATGCGAGCCACCCCGTGTGGAAGAAAATGCAGCTGTGGCCATATGTTTTGTATCCGACAGAGCCTTGAGACATTTTAACAGAGGTAGTTCCAAAATGAGGTTGAGAAATAATTTTGCAGCCTTGGACACAATTCAATAGAAAACAGTATGGTGTCCATTTGAAAAAGTGGGCTGCGTTCTGCAGTAAAAGGAAAATTGATTCACTTGATGTTTCTGTAAAATAACAGAGTGCTTCGTTTTCGTCATTCCTGTATGAGATGAGTTTAGGATATTGTTCAATTAACACAGCCGGTGCTGCACAATCTTCACTCGATTGTTGTAGCACAAGCCCCGTTGGAAACCATCCTCTCACTTGAACTTTCATTGAAAAACTGTTAGGCTAAAAATTACAATTACAATCCGTCTCAACGTACTTAAGACGCTTTCAGGAATTCTCGAATAAGACTTCCTAAATGCGCCTTAAACCGTCTAATATTATGTGCAGGCGACACGGTTTCAATCATAGAACTTACTCCTGAACTTACAAAATTTATATGTAGGTCGATGAAGGCTTATCCAGAATTTCAGAACAATACCGCAGTAGATGTAACCCAAAACGACAAAAGCTAATACCCAGGGTTGAAGAACGTGCGACGCTTGATAATTTAGTAAGAACTCGTCTGTTTATAAACTGACAAATTTCTGCAGAGTTGACAACCAAAGAACCTACATTTTATTTTCATACCTACATAGAGTACAAGAAAAGAGCACCAAAGATGCCAAATAAAAAAAACAACACCAACTAAAAAACCAGTCAGTCAATCAAATACTCAATCATACAGGCATGGGCATCCAAAATGTAAATCATAAAAGCACGTAATTTCGCAATGTAAATCGAAAAATGGGATAACAGTGCTCTATTTATACTAACCTTATTACAACATCACAAAACAAATGGAAAGAATACTGAATAAAATCAGCTGAACACCGAAAACAAATCTGGATAAATTCAGCTTTAAAGTTTATATGCTCAACTAAATGACTCAAAATTAAATGTCAGTCAGGGAAATGAATTTCGGAAAATACAGAGATTCAGCAGTAAAGCTGTGCAAAAGAATTCAAGTTTCTTTTGCTCAGGATTCCTTAAAATGTCAAAACTGAAAACTATCACGGTTGATACTTGAACAGGCGAAAGATCCAGTTATTCAGTGACCAAGGTATATAATTATTCAGTAACTAGTTATCCTTTTAAAAGTAAACAACGAAGTAAATTGTGTATAATTTAAGGGAACTCAAACATATCAATGCAAATTCACTGTAAAATACAGCTAAAACAACTTCAAAGGGCATATTGAAAACTAGATATGGAATTTGAGGCAAATAAAGAATACATGGAAAATCTCTCCTTACAACTGTGTGAGTAGCAACACCTGCCGATCCTCACTGATTAAGTAGGGGAAGCGGAAGTCAAAACTTCTGCGCTGAACGTGACGAAATTTGCGTATGAGAACTCGCCTGAAGGGGTCATTTGGACAATACATAGAACAGCCTGAGTATCAGGCGTTTCTGGGGAAAAGGGGAAAGATGGAAGCGAAAAAGGGAGAGAGCTCGCTAAAAAGGCGTATCTAAAATGTCCTCTTCTTTAGCTCCTTTGGAAGGCCTGATACTCAGGCTATACATAGTACCGCTACTCGACACCCCGCTTCTTGTTCTATTGCTACTGTTAGTCGCGAGATAAGCATTACGTTTTCTTCTTTTACAAATGTTTCTTAACTCGTTTCGAAAATTTCGCAGGAATATGAAACAAATGAAGGGATTCACCGCGCTGTATGATATCATCAACACATGAGAGACTTGGTATATTGCCTTAAAAAGATAATTGCACTGAGGAAGCTTTTCTGGTATAAAATATTTGAGCAAAGTTATCGTTGAAAACGGCAGCCAGAATATTATGAATGACATTACTGTTGCCGTGGCTAGCCTAAACAATTTCATGCTTCTTTGACGAAAGCGTTTTTTCCCAGTCCCACGGCCGTTTCGGTGTTCGGCCATGATGTCTCTTCTTAGGTAAAACACAGTAACAGGGTAAATAATCACCAATGCAATAACAGGTAGATATATGACTGTGACGGCTAAAAAAATGGTGTAGCGAAGAAAGGCCGATTTGTTGTTCATTAGACACTTTTGTTTATGATCAAGATCAAAGGCGAAGAAATATGGCGTGTGAATAGCCATGGCCACAATCCAAGTAGATGCAATGAGAAGGCGGCGTGTTCTCACAGTGATGAGGCGTGCTTTTAACGGGTGCAAGATGGCAAGAAAACGGTCGACTGCAATTATCACCAAGCTGTAGGATGACACTGAAATCGATATGTCACTTAAGAACGGACATATCTTACATAAAATCCGTCCTCCTAATCCCGGTACTTGCCAAGCCGGAGAATCTGCAACTTCGAATGCAAGCATGCGTGTATGTAGAAATATAGCTATCAAGAAATCGGAGGCCGCCATGTTAGCTATAAGAAGCATGATCGTCTCCTTCATTCTTCTGTAAGCAGCTATTAGGAGGCCGTTGCCTATCAAAGCCATTACTAAAACTCCAACGTAAAACACGATGTTTGCCTCCTTTGAAAACACTTCGGCGAGCTGCTGGTCACAGAGCCAATGTAATGAGGAAGTGTTACTGTTGTTTGTCTTCACCATCCCCAATGATTCTCCGGAGAGGTTTCCGACTTCATACATGACTTTGATGATAGCTGAGTCAGTGTGCTTCTGTTTGACCTTCTCCGGCTACCTTCTTCGCGCTCTGTTATGCTGGTTATCAACTTAAACTTTGGATCAGAAGACTGTCTTATTTTTCAGTTGGATTAGAACGACGTATTATGAGAGGAGTAAGATCTGTGACACGAAAACATAACAGTAGATGCCCAGAACTGACTGACAGACTGACTGCTCTAACTAATAATCTTTGTGTTCGTCCGCTTTTATAAGCGGGCAATTGAGCTCCAGCTTAGATAGACGTTTGCAGCATAATTACGTATAATAGCCCAATGTTTTGACACCTGTCGGCAATTGTGAAACGAGATTCACTAAAGCAAAGTCCTTGGCTGCGGTGGAGTGCCGACTGTGACAGGAAGTTGTCCTGTGTGTGTATTTTAAAATATTCAGGGAGATTGCAATGTTAGTTTTTATGAAGGTGATCGAGACAGAAAAACTAGTTAGAAAACAGCCTTGAAGCTTTTTTTGGTTTTAAATTCAATAAAAGGACAGAAGTTGAAATGTTTGGAACATCTGAAATGACACGTGGAAAAGGGCAAATCGAATTTACACATAAAGGAAAGACGGGGTAGATCAAAAGACTGCCGTTGGAAGGCAATGCACAAGAACGTCCCTCAAGATAAAGAACGTCTCTAAAACACAAAAGATATATAAAGATCTCTAGGGAAATAAATAATGGTATCGCGCATACGCGCAAAGCTTTTTAAGAATTGAATGTCAGTACAAATCACTGAAAATGGTACATGGTTGGTAATTACTATTTTTCTTGTCTGGATGAGGGTCGCAAAAAATTTGAACATGGTTTCGTGTTGGGTAAGGGTTTACATCGACGCCCAGTTGCACACCTGTACTCACGAACTCAGAAGCCACCGACCTTAACATCTTGCAAAACATAGCATCAACTTTTTGACTTAAAAAAGGCAGATTAAGAGAGTGATTCAGTTATTTGCCCACCTACACAATGACATATACAATGCGGCAGTGGGTGGGCCTCTGAATTGCTTACAGCAGCTGGAAATTTTAAAGCAATCTCCACAGTTCTTAGAATCACTAAGGTTTAAAGGAGAATTTGACTGAACACTCGAAAGGGTTAAGATGAGTTGATCAAGATATATATATGTATTTACATATCAGACGGAAAACAAATATCCTGATCCCCTTCCTGCCATTAAAACTGTTTACTTTTCACAGCCTCTACATACAAATAACAGGAAAATATTGATTACCTAATAAAATGTGTTTTCACTTGGTGGTGGACTGTTCTGTTCTGTTCATCACCATTATATTCAATTTAAAAAAAAAACAGTTTATCCGGCACGTTTAAGACGAACCATCGTGTAACTTCATTCAACTAAGGTGCAAATTAAAACTATCACAACAATAAACAAAATACTATAGATGTGGAAAACCAATACAAAATCTACTGTACAGTTTATCCAGATTCGATTTGAAATTTACATTCAACCTCATATTGTGTGTATTAGTATACAGGATTGCAATTGGCTTCATATTTTGTGGTAGAAAGGAATACGTTTTAGCCCCTACTTCTTAATATTGTCAGCCATAATTTCGAGGCGCGCTCATTCTCTACTTGTACCAGCTCGATAGATGATGTTGCATATACCCGTGGGATGCACAAGATGGCTTTCTACGCTGCCTTGATCGCAGGGTTGTAGGGTAGTTCCTGTAGGGTCGCCGCTTCAAGGGGGTCCTTATATTTCACGTCGGTAGATTGTTTGGGGTACTTTCATTTCGTATTCAATTTAAAAATGGGCAGTGTCAACAGGATTTCACTAAATGAAGATCTTAGGTGGCACTCTGACTTACTGCTCGAAAAATAGAGAATTCTCACTTTATACCACAATGGTCACGAATTTTGTTCTCAAAGCAGTTAAATTATCTAACTGGATATATAAATTGTAGTAGAGAAATGAAAATGAAATGAAATACAAAAAGGCATTGAAACACACGCGTAGTGCACGGATTATGGTAAAAAATTTTCCCATCAATTTAGTTTCATATCGAAAAGATCTAAACTACTACAGAAATACACTGTATAGATTTTCTCACAACAAAAATAACCCTGTATTTCTTTTTTCAATTTACCGACGATATAATCTCTTTGAGTTCACAACTTTATTAGCAGACAAAAAACAACGAAATTAACTAAAATCACTTAAAATGTGGGTATCGTCTTCCCTCACGCATTTTGAAAATTTTGTTACAATTTAAATTCAATTCCCCATTGGCAGTGTTGGGTTACAGGAATTGGCGAATGAAATTATTAAGTGAACCTATAACAAGAGGCCCTTTACATTTGCTCCTAAATTATGTTAGTCAAGTAGCAATTTACCATTTTGCACATATTGGATACAATAATTTTCGACTTGTAAACAACAAAAAAAGAAACAAAACAAAAAACAAAGAGAGAAAAGATTGAAAAAACAACACGCACTAAGTCAAATAGGTTAGTGGTTGGGCTATTAACTTTCAAGTCTCATGTTGAGAATTGCGGAAAAAAACAAGTTTTTCTGCATTCCCCTTAGAATTGAGTTTTTTTCAGCCTTTACCTATGCAAAGTCATTAGAACATTTTAAGTGCATCAAACTCACTGAAGCCTTAAGTGCTTTATGTGCTTTATGTGTAACAGGACAAAAAGGGCACCAACTAGGAAGAATCGACATGTAAAAAACGTACTTGGGCGACGATAAAAAATAGTATCCCCGCATAGGAATGAGTGCTAAAAGCAGTGACACTTGTCAAACAATTGATCACAAACAAACTTTAGACTTCAAATCCTTCTCTCTTGTGTAAATACAAACGAAAGCAGATGGCAGACTGGGCTTTGGGGATAATTCCGGACCTCAGATCTGGAAACGGATTCTTTTCTTAACTTGTCATTATAAATTAAATCTAGATCCGGATATACATCAGATTTCGAATCATTAGTGTTTCTTTGAGGACGCCACGTTTCTCAGTTTTTGTCGCAAACTTGATGAACTCTTTTAAGTTTAGAATAGCCTTTTTAACATCAATTTTGCGAATGCTGATTTTCTTTTAATCATATTTTCCAAGGTAAGTTAGCAATAGATTAAATCACTGAATGGAAAAAAACTAGCGCTCGTACGCCGCTATCTAATCTATGTAAGGAATGTTGGGCTTCTAATCTATTTATGAAAACAGCCCGTCTCGGTACTCGCTCCTTTTTGGGAAGGGGGAGGAGGGTAGAGAAAATTTTTTCAAATGGCTTATATATACACTGATATACAGTATTATACTGTGAGTGATGCTGCAAAACTTTTCACATGAATGTGTTCTCTCTCGACTTTTTTTGACCCATTTACATCCACAAGTGACAAGCAGAAACTTGAAACAAAATAATAATAATAAAAAAAACAATATGAAAGAAAGAAAGGAACAGGCGTAGCACAGCCTCCGTTAGCCACTAACTTACGTTATATCCATATCCCCTACAACGATAAAACAAAACCTAACACTCTATTTCATATGGTCAACTCTCTTATTCTTTAACACTAGTTTCTATGTACCGGTTCAAGTTGCAATTGCAAATCAAAATTTAGTGGCAAAGAAAGTCAAGATATCTGTACCCCCACACCTTACAAATTAAAAAAAAAATTGTAAAAAAATATATAGCAACAAAAAAATAAGCATAATATCCAAATGTATTTTCAGTGTAGATAATACCAAAGGATTAACTGAGATTATTTTTGTGCTTGAAAACCATCCTGATCCAGTTTTAATGCTATCAGCTTTTTTGCCAACCTAAAACGCAGTGACTTCAAACACTACGCAGATATCAAGTGAATTGTTGTTAATAGCCCCTAGAAGCACGCAGTTATGAAGAGTTATTTGATATCCCGCGAACTCGAATGAAGCAAAGGGTTTAAAAGCCACGTTTTATGTCCTTTCTGTACTCAATCAAAGTGCAACAGTAAATTAAATTTATCTCACACGAAACATAGCCATTACTGAGTGAACTTAAAAGAGACGTAAGATTGTTTTAAGGGGGGCAGTACGGTTAAAAGCATTGTCTTTCGTTGACTTCCACCCTTTTTCTTAAATATCTAGCCAAGACTTCATTCAATCCAAAATTGACGCAATTAAGTTACAGTCCTTAATTCAATAATTATTTGTGAATTTTTGGATGATTTTTCGGATGTTTTTAATATATAAAATTTGGGGAAGAAGGGAAAATATTAGATATGGGGGTTGTTAAAAATTAAAATATGAAGTGAATAATAAGTAGACAATTATCAGATAGCCGACCACCACAACAAGGTGCCTCTGATCCCATTAGCGGACTGGTTTATGTGCATGCCTTTTCTAACCCAATTTATTTGCTTCCCAAATCAACATCATTTCCCCAAAAAACAACCGTAATGTCCCCTTAAGAGTCCAGACCTCAGAATATAGACATGAGTTGGTTGAATAAAGGGAGTCGGCCTGTTTTCAAAACAATCGCTTCATGTAAGGTAATCCAAGACGGTCTTGGATTCTGGATTCCACGCCGTGGATTCTGGATTTGCTTGGTAGTGGAACTTTGATTCCGGATTTCAATTGTTAGTGGGATTTCGGATTCCTTGGTAGTGGAACTTTGATTCCGGATTCCAATTGTTAGTGAGATTCCGGATTCCTTGGTAGTGGAACTTTGATTCCGGATTTCAATTGTTAGTGGGATACCGGATTCCTTGGTAGTGGAACTTTGATTCCGGATTTCAATTGTTAGTGGGATTCCGGACTCCTTGGGCTCAATTCTGGATCCTCAGGATTACCAATTCTACATGAAAAAAATTCCTAGAATTCGGGAATCCAGATTATTATTTCATTGGGCAAAAACAATTTTAAAACTCTATTTACGTCCCATCGCCACACGTCTAAAGTTGAGTGGACAACTAAGTCTCACTTAATGTGTAGTAAAAGACGATGGCCGACCGACGCAAATGAGAACGAAACAGCCGTTTACATCTGCTTTCTAAGTGACCGCAGTAAGGTGTTTAGAAGTACAACAAACACATCCTTCAAGTAATGGTGTCCATCCTATGATTAAAGGCGCCATGATTTTGTAAACAGCTGAGCAAAAATTAAAGGGGCAATGTCAAGATAATTTTCTTTAGTTTTAGTGTAGAAACCCTGACGATAGAATCACGAAGACTGTACTTTCGCCGAGGCACAAAATGACCACTGAACATCAAGAGAAAATATTCATTTCATTCTATGAAGTTGCAGAATATTTGAACATTTTTAAGTTTCAGTCCTTTTTCTTTCATGTCTTAACCGTTCGTTCATGATCAAGAAGCAATTTTTGGCAGGTTGTATGTACTATCATGGCTATCATAGCAAAGTTAAGCAACACTATGCAGATTACTTATAGAATAGATTTGTGAATCTCTTCTGCTGGAAGTACTTTCATTTCATTTACATTGCAAAAATAAAATTTGGAAGTTTTGTTACACGTTGACTTTGGCCACGTTTGGCATTAAAAGGGTTAGATGGACTAGGTAAAAAATAAATCGATAATAAGAATAAGAATAATAATAACGGCACGTGATGAAGAACACTTCTCCGCAACATGTATCTGCTTCGATTTCCACACAAAAATAATAACTTCAGTAAGTGATCTTCCTTTAAGTCGAATGTGCTAGCCCCTGTGTTTTTCCACGCCCCTCAACCCCCCCCCCCCCTCTCCTCCTTCCCTATAAAAGCGTCGAAAGAGAGAACTAGATTTAGACAAATCTTCTCGTCTCACCCCAACTCAATTTAACAATTAGTTGCTCAACCAGGAAATACATGGTAGTTTTTAAGTATTTTCAAGGAGAAATTTAACACGGATGAAAGTCTGGTAGCTGTCGATATTGCTAGGCCCCAGACGGAGGGGACACAGAACGGATGTAGTTATCCTGGATCAAAGTACCTCAAAGATGATATACTTTGAACTCGTAGCAATGCTGCAAACAAACTGAACTTGAATATTTATTGATTGACCAAATTTACAACTGGACAAACATACCGCTCCTCAAGTTTTGCTGCCACTGGATTTACTAAGAGTACTGTTAGTATCGATTAATCTTTTGGTGTTATTCGTATACCAAACACGGGGACATAGCAACACAAAGAAAATGTCCATACGAATTCTCCTTTTCCTTCTAAATACTACATGCGGTTATTTACTTGGGTGCTCAGCATAACAGAATGAGTCGAATTGTATCTCTTTTTAAGTGTTTGTACGAACTTGCGAGGCCGTAGAATTAGCGCTTTGAAAGCGCGCTTGTAGTGCTCGTTCAAACAACCGTAACATACTGGATTAAGCGCGTTCGGCAGCCAAACAATCAAGTACAGAAATTCTGTAAATAGCTGCATGTACGGTAAACTGTACAATTCATAATGGAATTGGCTGACGAGATACAGCGTTTGAAACGGGAGATAACACAGGATGTAGACTAGCAACACAGACATGAGCATTTTAAGAAACTTGTTTTCCATCGCTTGTCTCTTCATAAAGCCAGTAGAATTCATGTTCAGCTTGTTTAGATGTAACGTTGATGAATGCGGGCTCGCACTTGGAGTGGAGGTCAGAGAGCTGGACTGATTTGGTCTGAGCACTAGTGGTAGAAGTCGGATATCTTTCAGTGTGGCTGTGATTTTAAGGTACAATACAGAGATCACAAGCACAGGAAGACTCACGTGAACAATGTACAATACTATTGTGTAAACGTGACGATATACAGTGTCTTTTTCACTAACATAAGAAAACATATCCAGACAATAATAATTGTATGGCTCATCATCAAAGCTGTAAAGCGTCATAGCGCCGTACAACGGCAAAGAGAATAAAAAGGCAACTAACCACAGCAGACACAAGATGAGACGCGTTTCCGACGTTGATGGGCGAGGCACAAGAGGAAACACAACCGCGCGGTATCGATCGCATGCGATCGCCACCAGCGTGTTGGTCGTCACAAAGTTAAACACGACAACACTGGGCTTCACCAACTTGCACATTACTTCTCCCATCCTCCAGCTTTGCACAAAAAGCTCTGGTAACAAAAACGGAAGGCAAAGCACTGACCCAATGTCAGAAACTGCTAAGTTCATAACCAAGAAGTAGGTGCTTGTCTGAAGGCGACGGTTACGGCGTGTAATAACACACACTGCTACGTTGCCCACTAGAGCAAACAGAATGATCAGCGCGTACATAATAAAGCGAAATATCTTGAGACCATCAGGTTCAATAAAAGGCTGCTGTTCGTTTGTTATTATTCTGTACTCAGAATCGTTTGGAGGAAAAATGGATGCGTTGACGTCAGAAGCCATGGGTAACTGTTTCCTTTGTGTCGACTTCAATTTTCTGCTTTTGTCGAGGCTGTAATGATACTCGCAACTGTTGATGCGTTAATATTTACTACCATAGCCTGCTGGTTGTCCCTGCAGTAAATAACAGAGATGTTAGAGATTTCTGGATATTTCATACTTTCAGCAAAAGCATCTGGCATAAAACTATCAGTCTTTACCAAGCTCTCAGTCTGTGAGCACAAGTGACAAGACAAAATCCTCCGGTTTTTTCGTTTTGTTGTTTTTTCTATTGCACGGTCACCCTGACCAAGTGGGAGCCTGGACCATGCAGGCTTGTAGACTTTCTAAAAGTCCTTTAATTTTTTTTTCCTGGTTGGTTATGCCTCGCGACTTCGTCGCTCGCTCGGTCGCTGCGCGACCTCGATGAAGCTCGCTTCGCTAGCCTATTGTAGCTTCTTTCGCTTGGGATAAGAGCTAGGTCGACTTGTAGCAAGTCTACAGGCCTTGCGACTACTGGCTATTGAGCTCTTGAAAACAAACAAACTCGGGCTGTATCCGGTTTAAACTTACAAAACTGCTAAATTAACTTGCATATCGGTCATGTTTTTATGGTTGAGGCGTTTGAATTCGATACAGCCTGATTTTCTTTCCTTAAAACTAAATGAAGTGGTTTGAAACATTTTTAAATGCTCATTTTCTCCAACAATTATGATGGAAAGAGAGAGGGAGAGAAACCGATGGTTCAGTCAGTTAAATTTAGCAACTTATATATTTGCACATTTGCTTCAACGAGTGCTAATTCCCTCTAGTTTTATGCGGGCGAAGACGGAAGAGCGGAACAATAATGCAATATCATTATAGATACGTGTTCATGGAGGTTACATTTAACCATAACAGACAGCTGTTGATACAGTACGTTACTGCACAGATTAAAATTCTTATTTAAAACAAATACATTTCACAATTCCAGACATACATGGATTATAAAGATTGTGCTAATTAAGACTGAAATGTTTGAATCGCCTCAGGGGTTTATCTTTAAGTACAGGTAAATGACAACGTAAAATATTCAACAAACACTCTTATTCACTGAATTCTGGCCAGTGGTCCGAGTAGTATTCGCAATAAAGGATTCTAGGTTATGAGAATTACCAATTACCTATTGAGTTCGAAGATGTTTCAACATCACATTACAGTTTCACATGGTTATCAATGCGATAAATGCGCATTTGCGACTTCGAAAAGCCTGCCTCCACTCGAAGAGATCCGTTCATTGACGAATATTTCAAACATAGGCTTCTTTTTAGTAGCAATGGTGTTTCCTAACAAAAACGATCAATAAATAAAGTTTCTATCACGTAATCTTTAAAGACTCACCTGATCAAATGATTCCTTCGTATACGACGACTTGCTCACCAGCTTGAAACTTATCGCAAGACAGGAAACTCGTCTAGAATTTACTGTATAACAAAAGTAATCGATCTCTCCAGGAGTGCAAGTTCAAATAAGGTCGACCGGGCTAAGCTGAAAAAAAGATCTGTCAGTTTTACAAACGCAAATAGGTGCTGATAATCATTACCGAATATTCTTCACTAACATTTTGCAATTAAATGAGATACGGGTCGCTTCACCTTCCGAAAGGATGCTTTGGTATTTTTATGAAACGCCCTTGGGCAACGGGTCATTCAAAGCTAACTTTTACCCGATAGGAAAGAAAACAACCTTGATATCAAGAATTCCGAGCAAGGGTAGAACACCGAATGATTGTCAATTTACCCAACCTGAACAAACAGTTTTTAGATTTTAACCGCAACTTTTATCGGACAAGAATCTTAAATTGTTGACAAAGTCTCAAACAGTTAACAATTTAGAGAGATCGCATTGAAAACCATCCGATACACAAAGAGTCAGGCGGCCGTTATCCATTTTTGTTGTTGTTCTTCTGTTTTGTTTTGCTTTTTGTCGTAACATCGTGCTATTTGTTGTCCGTTTGTTTGTTTTAAAGCGATGGCAGTCAATATCGCAAAAGCCTGGGCAGTAGTTTTTCGTCGTACGTCCATATCCCCAAGCCTTTGAAGTCACAGAGACAATGAACCTCTCGAGGACCACGTGAACCGAAAAAGAAAACGACGCCCGAAATAACGAGGACTGGGAACTAGGCTAGGGCACTGACGTAGCAGCTGGCAGGATTTTGTTTCTTTAGTAATCTCGTAATGGAAATAATTACCACATTGTAACAACTTTTGGGATCTAGAATTGAACATATACAGTCGGGAAAATAGAATCTATTTGATTAGCCAGAAAGTCAAAACAGAAAATCATGTTACGGGGTTAGAATATCGTATCTCGGGATATAAACTACAAAGACTACTAAACAATTACTGGATGAGGTTTTTTTTTCGAGGCAAGTGTTATTAGCCGAGCCGAAGGCCCAGGCTGATAACACTTACCGAGACCTTGATTATTTAGAATATCACAAAAACCGAATCTAATAATTGTTTATTGTACATTGTTTTGAAGAAAATAACGGCAAACACACCGTCGCAAGGAACCTGAATTGATCCTGCATTGCGCGCGCAACCTACAGATTAGTCAGTTATCTGCTAGCAGATAACTAATTAATCTGTAGGTTGCGCTGATTTGCAAAATTAGCCGTAGGCTCTTAGCCAATGAGAAGACGGATAATGAGCACAATGTATAATAATCTTAGTTAAATGAATCCAATTTAATTTACCTTTGTCCCTTCGGATTTACAGAGATGTCTCTTAATTAAACAATAACCTATTTACAGACCTTTTAAATAATATCTCTGGCAGCGTATTAGCGCCATGAAATTTCAGACATTAATAAGCTTTTCCACCTTTACATTTATACATTATATTACATGATAAGAAAGCTTTAAGCTTTAAATAAATAATAAGCTTAATTAGATGTTCTCCTTATTCTTTTTAAAATTTACGACTGCTTGAAGTAGATCTTCCCTTCTCCATAGGAACAACCACTGATAGAACAATAGCGATACTCACGCTGACGATGTGTCAACCAGAAGCGCATTGGTTCTTGTAAGAAAAGATTCTTAATTGTTTCACTCGTTACAAATTTAAAATTCCTTTCACTTTTTTCTAAAGGTCAAAAGAAGATTTGAGGAGACGATAAGATAATCGCTTAATTTATTCTTATAATTTTCCGAGAGCCACTCTTTAAATCTTGGGCGTCGTACATTTTGTTGATCCCACTTTCGAAATTGTTGCAATCATAACAATATCAGCAAACACAGAAAAAGAAAAGGAAAAACTTAAGATGTAATTAACTTACCCAGAAAGCAAGCCCTGTAATTACCGCAAAGACTTTAAAAGGGGGTAAAAAACGGAAGTACCCTGACAAAATATCTCGGAGCATGGGAGAACATCAACAATCACCTTAACCCACACAAGGCGTCACCTCTTACATCAGAAGTTGGACCCGTGGTGGCAGGCAAGTGCTCTCACTACTACGTCACCATTGGTCACAAGAGCGACCAACATCAATTTTCTTGTAACACTACCAAAACATAACCAAGGGAAAAGATTACGAGAACTGATAAAATGATCGCTAAAGGGGAATTGCTTGGATCTCTTATATCAAATCTTCCGAGACGGAAATCACGAAGTCGGGAGAATCTGTATATGGATGTTGTGGGCTTAAGAGCAAAGGGAAAAATGGAATGAGGAATTTACTCTAACAAGTTTCAAAGACGGTCAACGTTAATTTGGTACGACAGTGGATGTTCCCTTAAAGATCTGATGAGAGTAGAACTATTCAAGCGAAGAACACTTAGATTGAAATATCGCGGGCTGAATTTTTTTTTTTTTTTCGACTTTCTAAACACTGAATACATTTCCACGATTTTTGCTCAACGTCCTTACCACGGTCGAATGACTGAAACTCGGCCGCAAGTTGAGAGTTTGGAAGAACTTCCTGGGTCGAAACATTAGCGCCCTGAAAGCACGCTTGTACTGCTCGTTCATACAACCGTAACAGACGGGGTTAAGTGCGTTAGGCAGCCAAACAATCAAGTACAAGTACTCGGATAACGTCTGCAAATAAGGGAGATTGTACAAACCTGGGGTGAATTCATAAACGAGATAAAAGGTTTGGAATGGGAGATAACATAGTACGTAAAGAAGCAACACAGTCATAAGCATTCTCAGAAATTTTTTCTCCATCAACTGCCTTCGTACAAATCCTGCGGGATTCATGTTCAGTTTGTTTATATGTACAACTGATGACCTTGGGCTTGAACTGGGCGTGGAGTTTAAAGAGCTAGACCGCAAAGTCCTGATGGATAGAGGTATCAGGCGGATATTCTTTAACGTTGCTGTGATTTTGAGGTATAACACGGAGATAACTACCACTGGAAGTAAGGCCTGTACACTGTACATTATTATCGTGTAAATTCGACGATACAAAGTATCCTTTATTGTATCCTCGGAGAAAATGTCCAAGCAGAAGTAGATATCGGGTGCTTCAGGATAGCTGTAGACCGTCATAGCACCGTACGATGGAAGTGAAAACAAAAATGCGATCAACCATAGCAAAGATAAGATGAGACGTGTTTCCGACGTGGTTGGACGTGTTACGAAAGGAAACACGACGGCGCGGAATCGGTCGCAAGCGATCGCTACCAGCGTGTTGGTCGTGACAAAGTTAAAAACGACCACACTAGGTTTAAGCAGCTTGCACATGACTTCGCCCATCACCCAATTGCCAATGAATAACTCTGGTAGCAAAAACGGAAGGCAGAGCACTGAACCAATGTCAGACACAGCTAAGTTCATTATGAAGCAGTAAGTACTTCGTTGCAGACGCCGGTTGCGACGGGAGATCACACACACGGTTACATTCCCCACCAGGGCGAAAACGATGATAACCGCGTAGAGGGAAAATCGAAATATTTTAAGAGCCTCCGGTTCAACGTAAAATTGCTGTCCATCTGCTGGTCTATGTAATTCTGATATGTTCGGAGTAGCAGTAGAAGCAGCAGATGCCATTTACAGTATTACTCTCCTAAAAATCCACTAACCAAGTGAAAGTTCCAGTTAAGTTAATTCACCTGAAATATAACAAAGTATATAAGGAAAAGAAAACCAGAAATGAAACAAACCAGACAGTCAGCTGCCAAAACTACCAAACCTTTGAAAAACACGACAATTCACACGAAACTGCACTGAAGTTCAATTTCTGGTTCTGAAAATCTTGTATTATTTTTGTATTATTATAGTTAGGTCTTTTTATCGGGAAATTGGTGCGGAAAATTACCTGTAATAGATTTATATCTCGCCTTATGGATCAGAACCTTATCTGTGTTATTAAAATCAGCGCATTGACATTTATGCCATCCACTGGGACTTTTGACTTGATTTTTTATAACTCTTTGTGATTTCTTGAATTTTGAATTGTGAAGGGGCTTTGCCAAAAATTGGTATTGATATGGACGTTTTTATTTTTCTTATTACTTTTTTTTTATGAATATATCACTGAAGTTTTGTATGTAGTTTTTATACGATTTTAATAAAGCATTATTTTTTTTTTTTTTCAAGAAAAAAAAATAAATTTTACAACTATACGTCGCCTTTTAGTTGGCTGGAATTCAGTGCCACCAGTACTTTATGTGCAACTCAGTAGGTGAATCTGTTGAGTTAGTACCTATATACGCCCAGCTGCTACTGGGTCCACGATGTTAGTTCTGTAAGAATTGCAATAGAGCACGTTTTATTTACGCCGCAAAACAGATGTTTCTCAGACAAAATGACTAACGAGGTGAGAAAAGTATTTGCCTATAATAATTACTTTCATTTCCTGTCTCGACTGACTAAGGGAAGGGAAGGCTCACACAAGGCTAACGTTCAGTGAGGTTAAATATTTATGTTAGAAAATTGTGGATGCTGACATGGTTGCCGTTGACCACGCACAAGGCATTTTCCCAACTGGTTCTTGGGGATGTCTTTCGATCATTCACAGGAAGCGAGGCAGTAATATAAGGATGTAAGGCGCCTTTCAGGGAAAACCGACAGTAAAGGTGTACAGTAAACACTTTGTCACGGAATCTATATCAGTGTAGATACTGTGGATGCGACAGCACTACAGAGCCAAATTTCGATAAGAGGAGACATAAGCTTCGCTTTTGAAAAGACTCGCACACATTACTCTTTACGATTTTCCGTGCGTGTGGGGCACTTTAATTGCAGTACCCCAGGTTCTAAAATTGGACACCATGGTGCAGTGAGGAGAAAACAGCGTGAAGCAACAATCTTGACCGGTGGACACTTCGCTTCATGGAAAAAGAAAGGGCCACGACAATCAAGCTATCAAAAAGACTCTCCCTGAACCCTTTAAGCCCCAATAGTGACCCACACCCAATTTCTTCAAACAATAACACTGCCTGATCAAACATACAGGTCATGAGAATGAAAAAAAAAATGATCACCAAAGATGAAATGTCGTGATATTAGAACATATTCTCTCAAGCAGTATCATAAGGAATGTATGTTCGAACAGTGTGGAGAAGATGCATGTTGATGTTGGGGCTTGAAGGGTTAACCACACCACATTCCATTTCACGCCGTCCAGGGAAAAAATCTCAGTCTCAAATGACCTGGTTTACTGACGAGACAATCCTTTCCTAGTTCTAAACGTGTTTGATCCACAATGGTTACTTATCTTTCATTCGACTTACATTCTCGGGCTTCAAAGCAAAATTCTTTCGGAACGTACAGCTACCTTTAGTCATGACAAAGGACGAAGATTCGGCGAAACTCGTCTTGTCGCTTTTTCAAAGTTCTGTACCTGAGAATTTGAAATAAACTATGGGAAAGACAAAAGAACTACAGTTGAACTTCTCCTTGCGAACACTTCTACAACGACGACACTTTTCTATGATGCACAGTTCTCTTTGCTGCAAAAGATACCAAATAACTCCTTCCTCTACAAAAAGGACGTCTCTGCAATGCTACCTATATTATACACTTTACTGATTTAAAAAAGCAAAAAAAAGAAGTCAAGAAAAAATAAGGGAAGCAAAGGAAAGCACACGGGCAAACTTCGAAAATAGCACCAGGCAAAGGAGGCGAAAAAAGCAACGTGCATTTCAATAAGCCGACGAATAATCACCAAAAATTCTGCAACTTGGCATGTTCCCAATTTTGCGGTAAACAGAAAAACCTCTACACTTGAGGGCTTAAGTGGCTAGGGCAAATGATATCAGCAGGGGTGACGAAAACTCTTTCAAAAATAACTATGTTAACTTTGTGGGGGTCTTGTTAAAAGACTTCTAAGTAACTGATTTAGTACACTGAATGACATTTAAGATTCCAAATATTTCAGGCGCCAAGGAACTAAGTCGAACGCAAAATATATACCAAACTATTTTACCGCAAAGGTGTAACTTCTGAGTGAAAAACGAATGAAATAAAACAATACAAAAAAAAGTTTGACGTTCGATTCTTCAAAATACCCGTATCAGAGAATTAGCTAGAAAGGATACTGAAATGTGTGACACGCACACGTGATTTTAATTTTTTTAACAGACTGTAGTGGAGACTATTTTTCCTGTAGAGACAGGTAATGCCCACTTGCTTTTACCGTCCACCCCATTAGATATGCGTTAGTTTCTAGACCAGTCTGACGACAATGTCATCGATATTTGATCCCAAGTGCTGATAACCTTATTCACTCCAAACAACAATTTGCAGGGAATCAAGTTATTAAGATTACTATATACACTTTTTTTCCTTTTCTCTTCTTCTTCTTTTCTTTCTATCTTTTTTTAATCAAATTTAATTGTTTTTTTTAAAATTCTGCTTATATTGTCTTAGAATGTTAAAGACGTTTCATTATCTCCGTATTTATCATTATTATTATTTTTAATGGAAAATGATAAAAAAGAATTAAAGTTGAACAATAAAAAGAATTAAACAAAGGCCTCCAAGGGGGCCGGAGATTTGTTATGAACAGCTTCGACTTTAGCGATCACATCAATAGCCAGAGTCAATCGTTCCTCCTCCTCCGACATGAAAACGTCGAAAAAAGCGAGAGAATTTAGGAAAATCCTTATCCTATTAACCGTTGAAAAAGTAAATGGAATAACTGGTCATTTAAAACCACTTGATCGCAGCTTGCTGACATCATACACCACAAGAAGTACTTTTTAGAATGGCACTTGAAACAATGAATGAACTGCACTTTACTAGTTTACAAGTTGCCCTGGACACCCACCTCTCTTTAAACCTCAGGTTTGATAACCATCAAGGAAAAAAAACAATAACAACAAAAAACGAACGGACGAACAAACGAAAGAACCAACTAACAAACAAACAAGCAACTGAATAACAGCGTCTATTATGTGTCAGTCTGCATCGAAAAAAAACAAAAATGGTACCACAATATAAAGGCCTTCTGCGTAGTATTGGAATAAAAAGGCTGAAGACAATTTCTGAGAAATAGGCTGCAGGAAAGCACCTTTCAGTAGTATGAGAATGTAAAAAGGAGACAATAGGTAACATGGTTGGAACAAGTAATTTACAACACAAGTCGAGTACACAGATTACTGGCAAATAGTCCAGGCAGTGATCACACAGAAATTCCGGGATAAAAACGAGGAGTTAAAAGGCCTCCTGAACCAAAACCTACTTCAGTTACAAATGCAAGGCAGACTTTCTAAAACTTCGTTTTGTTTTTCAAGTATAGTGCAATAAAAGAGAGACAAAAAAAAAGGCCAGAGCAATGAGAAACAGCAAATGGTCAAGCGTCGCCTAAAGTGCTAATGCAGAGGACACACTTGGCTTATCAATCTTTCATCATAATCCTTCAGTCTCGAGCGGTTCTCATAGGAAACTACTAAACTTACTTGACCAAATCTTTCACTGGAATACCAGATTCTTTGCTTTTTCATGCAGAGTACTCGCTTGTGTCGACTGAGACTCGGAGAGTTGAGTGGTCTGGAGTCAAACGAAGCGTCACCAGGTTAAGTGATAGGTCATAAATGAGGTGTGATTAGAACACGGAATGTTTCATGACAGAGACATGCTGAGTGAGGATGGAAATGATGAAATCACTCTTTACTAACTTGTTATTTGTTGTTATTACAATTATTGTTTCTTTACTTATATTTCTTGTTTGTTTGTTTCTTTTGATTAGTTCACTTAAACACAACGAGTATCATGAAAAAAAATTATACAGAGTAGCTAATTGCACGCAATGGCGTTTATTTGCATCATTTTCAAAACAGCTTTCTACAAAATTATTTGCCTTTGTCTATACCAAGAAAACTCACCGGTCACTGTGTGTCTGGTAGGTTGTCTGTGGTAAGACAGAAGGCAGAACAACTGAGAAACTACAAGCGAGATGGTGGATGAGGGGTTACTACCCCCTATCCCCTGCATTGGTCCCATTAAGATTGTCTTTTAAAATTAAAATGACTGTCATTAGAGCTGTCGAGATACCTTTTCTAGGCCTCTCACAGTGTCAAGCCGAAAGAAGGCAAACTATTTATTACCAAAAGGAGCTTTGTCACGATTTTTTGGTATAACTTTAAAACCTTGAAAACACTTTGGAATTAAAGAAAACCCTGATATAATGGTTCACTTGTATTTAGAATTAACCAGGTGTATTTATGTATTTGTCTCAAAGAGGTTTAGTGATATCATCTCAAAGTAGAGTCCTAACCAGCTAACAGACTTTTTTTTCTTTTTTTAATAAAGCGACAGTTTTTATTCGAAGCATCAACACAATCAATGCAATCGAGATGCACGAATCCACCATGTGCTACTTTTGTTAATGACTAGTGTCAAACTCACTTTTGGTTTCACTACATATTTTTTGCACCTAACGAACCACCATAGGTCGCCTTTACTAAAACAGCCCAAGAAATATTCAAAATTAACATAATCGAGATCAATAGAACAGAAACCGTCTCGCAAAAACAGTTGCTTTAACGCGACTAGAAACAAATACAAGTCCTTTCCGTTGTCAGGATAAAAAGCAAAAAGCATATACATAGCTGCTTTCACGTGTATCAAGTCACGTTCATTTACAATGTTTCTCAAACGTTTTAAAAAAAAGAAAAATGTAGAATGCTTAGCCTCTGTACAGACGCCTCCCCCCCCACCACCACCCACCCCCCCCCCCCACCACACCACCCCAACCACCCCACCCCACCACACAAACAACAAAACACAACAATACAACACCAAACCTGTAACCTACACACTACCACAAAGACACTCAACCTACAAGATCGCCCCCCCCCCCCCCCCCCCACCCCTCTCAAAAAATATCGGGGAGGTTATAGAATGCCATGCTTCTTAAAGTATGAGCAGATTTAATCATTCAAATCTTACGGGTTTTCTAACTTCCGTTTTTTTTTTTCGAATTCTGAGCGACTATTTCACGCTGCGTCTACAGCAAAAGGATATATACACAAGGATCTCGTGCTGATTTGTTTACTAATTTTAAACCTGCCGGTTCGTTTGCCCTGCATAACAATTAACAGGCGTTGTTCAGAATTGAAAGGTCAAAGAATGCATATAATGTGGTAATTTTATAGGAACAATTATAAAAGACCGACAGATTGACCAATGTAAACAGGACTTAAACCGCAGGGTTTTTGAAACTAAAAGGATCATTTCGAGCACCTTTTTAAAACCTTGGAAGGCTTTGGGCTCGAAAGGAAACAAAACACCATTTATGACTGCTAAAATTCAGGAAATAATCGTATGTACGTAGTTGCGAAACAAACGTGGGCAGGTGAAGTGTACAAATCGGAAGGCCACAAATGGTTTTCAACAGTTAAGGATTTCGTGTCAATTTTATGTGTTAACGACTGATGACTATTTTTTTTTCCTTGACTTATTTGCTGTGTAAAATGCTTTAAGCATCACAAAGGACGGAGATAAAAAAAAAAAGACTAAGATAATATAGTATAAACACCTTTTGAGAGTACTGCAAGATAATTGTTCAGTCTCAACAACTCGGCAAGTAGAGTGCTCGAGCGACATAACTACAACTAGTTAAAAAATGGAGCAACGTAAATCACTTTTAAAAATATTCCAAACGTAAACTTTACGCATTCAGTATTTGGCCCCTCACAAGCAAGCAGAATGAGACTCATTCTGGAAGGCTATCTAATCGCTACTGCAAATTAACACTTACCGATTGTTTAAGAATCAAGTGGACGCCAATATATTTGTGAATATTTAAGCAAGATAAAATTAATTGTGGTCTTTCACAAAACTCATATTCCTTACTCTTTGGATGTTTTCGTTATAGTAACTATTAACATTTTTGCGATACGGAGTTTAAAAAAAAATGATTCGCACGAGTAGAAGGAAATGCTACTTAACAAAATAAAATCAGAAGACAGTTCAATACGTATGATGAAGCACCTAACAGAAAACTTACATGTCGCTAAATAAGATTGTACATTGAGAAGTTTTAAAAATGGGGTTTCAAAACAAAAAAACTGTACTTGTTTGAACTAAGTGACGGTCGTACTATAAAAGAGCAAGCACAATCGATTAATAATATACTGTACACCTAAACCGGATAGTCAGATTTTGGATTGAAAGAAGATTATAAGATTTTAATAACATAACCCTGAAGACCAGCTGAACCCCAACACAGATAATACACACAAAATACCATTTCGGAGCCCAAGTGTGCTTAAATACAAATAGAAAAAAAAATCCTTAATATATTTTTGCCAAATACTAAAAATCATATTTATACATATCACTGTATTACTCAAAAGAATTCATTTGCAAGGTCATAACGAAGGTTTTTGTCTACAGTCCCAAGAATAAAAACGTTAAATTTCTAAGAAATAAATTTGGAAGTTAAATAGTTAGATGAACTGCATAAAATAGGCCGTACCTTAATCGATTCGTTCCGACTGTACACTGTAAAAGACGTTAGTTCAGGATCAATGGTTCATTTCTTTGACTCTTTTGTCAATGGATGTCCAGTGTTAATCTCGCTAAACCAAAGAATTTAACCTCCGGAGACTTGCCTTTGTATTACACAACCGATCACAAAACCACCAACGCCTCGATTTATAATTAAAATCACCACGAAACGCATTTCCCGAGGAGCGGCGGACAGATGACGCAAATTAGTTTCCTTCGCAACGCTTACAAATTATCAAACAACAACCCATGATACGAGACTATAACTGTAGGCATGTCTGAGGTGGGCGGGATAGTTCACTCTGATGCGCAAATACTAATTGCTGGCATTCTCTGTCGCTATAACGCACCTTTGTTACGTCATACTAGTAATGACCCGGCCGGCGAAATGTTGGCATATGGCAAAAGCAACTGAAGTAATTTTAGTAACGAACATAGCGATGAGACGCCATGCCATATATCGATAAAAGGTTATGTACATAATGTGAAAACAATCGACTGCATACAAAATAGTGTCTTTGGCCAAAAATAGGCAAGTGTGATCTTGAATCTCAGAGGTTTGAAGATGGAATGTACCTTGCGCAATTTGGGCCATTAATGGTTTTCTTTTAACCCTTTGGATCCCAAGAGTGACCAACATCAATTTTCTCCTACCAACATCAGCAGATCATCAAGAGTAAAGGTTATTAGAATTACTAAGGGATTGGATTACCAAGGGGAGAATTCTTTGATCTTAAACCAAATTCTCTCAACTATTCTTAAAAGAAATGTATGGAGATCAGTCTGGAGAATTTGTATGTGGATCTTGGGGCTTAAAGGGTTAGCCCCCCCCCCCCCCCCCCCCCCCCCCCCCCCCCCCCCCCCCCCCCCCACCCACCCCCAGCCCCCGACACACCAGCAAACCCAACACCAAAACCCAAACAACACCAAACTAAATACTCTAGCTAAAAAAAACATATCTCATTCACCTCTACATCANTTCATAGTCGATGTTATTGAGTTTGCCTACAAACACTGTTTATCTAGTCCTCTAGATATCTTTTCATTCTCAGCTCTTTCAAAATACGTTTCGTTCTATTTTATTCAACAGTTTGTTAACAACGCACGATTTAATACTACTACCCGGAAATGAAGATAACGATCACTATGCCCGGCCACGATTTACGATTCCAAGCTCAGATAAATGATAATTTTGGATCAGAAACGTGATGGTGATGTAAATCTCAAAGGCAATAAACATGACTGTCAAGGAGAGCCAAAGGGTATCTTTTCTTCCAGAAAGAGGCCACAAAAACTAGTTAAAGAAAACCTTGGCGTCTACGCCGGGTTACTGCATTGGCTACCGGTTTCAAGGCGGACGACCAGCTACTCACGGCTTTAAAATGAGTAAAAGCAAGAAAGAAGAAATAAACTTTCGTCCGATCATCACCCTGAGGAAAGATGTCCTTAGCCTAACCCCTTTAATCAAAAAGTTAACAAACAAAATAAAACTGAAAAACTTCACGATTCATTAAAAAAACTAAGAAAACAAACAGCACCAGGTAAAAAGTTACTGAAAAGTGGTTTTCTTCAAACTGTTACAACATAGAGACTCTGGCAGCCGAGGCCTTGGATGAGGGTCTCAATGGGGTGGTGGCTTTTACGGTTATCGGCTAAACTTTTGGCTCTTTTACGGCTATCGGCTAATTTTTTTCAGTTACGGTTAACCAAAAAGTTAAAACTTAACTTCTTTCGTTTCAAAAAGTAAAATATTAATTAACCTGTATTTTTTGTATCTTTAAATCAAAATAAAGGTCTTCGGATCATCTCGGGATTAAACAAGCTATTCTTTTGAAAAATTTTAACATCTGATAGATCATACCTTTTATAAAGTATTTCACTTATAATATTATTTTACACATAGAAATGTCAATAGTCAATTTAAAAATAATCTTTGTGAAAAAGCAAAAGCGGACACGCAAACGCCCAACTCAAGGCCGGGCCGAGACATTCATCATAACAGAAATGACCGTTGTCACACGAGAGACGGATTATTCGTGTGAAACGGGTTATCCGTTTGATGATTCGCGTCAGATAGGTAATACTTCTTAATTTGAAAATGGAATAGTTTTAATTTCGAATGAACAATCCGCCTGACTTTATCCGTCAATTTCGACGGACAGTTTGAAGGCGGGATTATCGGTTCCAGATAGCCTGTGTACGGCCGCCCCCTCCCCTCAGAAAAAATCGGAGAAAGGGTGTCTGTGGGGAGGGCGCCACTGTACACAGGCTAGTCTCAGACGGATAATCCATTTCTAGCTCTAGCGTGAAAACGGCTAATAACAAAATTCCCGTGTCCAGTGTTTTTAATGATAGCGAAGGACTGTACGGAACGACTGTCTGCCGTTGCCTTGTCCGTAGGCCTCATTATTCCGCGCGGCTAATGCGTTTCGGGTCACGTGGTCCTAGCGAGTTCGCCGAAATGCCTTGACCGAGATTGCCTGGGAAGACGACGTACAGGGACTAGGCATGGCAATGTCTACCGTAGCGTCAGAGAAAAACAGGGAAATGTTGTTTATGGGCAACGTGTTTTTACAAACAGTGACATATCTGCGTGTTGTTTCAATAGTGTTTCGAGGGCACGACCTCGTGAAAATCGCGAATATTAATCCCCAGCAAGAAGCCACACTTTCGCTATGGAAAAAATTAGTTCCCCGAGAGAGTGGCCGAAATGGAGCCTAGGTCTTGGTCAACAGCTAAAAGGCGCTTCGACTAACGTGAGAGTCACACGAGCCGGGAAATAAAAAACGCAAACATAAGTGAGTTTAGTACCTCCCTTAAAAGTAGCAGATCTAGGGAACAGTTCCTTTTACGCTTAACTCTTTTTTACTCTATTTACGGCTAACGGTTAAAATTTTTTAATTTTTACGGCTATCGACTAAATTTTTGGCCGTTTTACGCCTATCGGTTAACCCCATTGAGACCCTCTTGGATCCAAACAATTAACGAATAACTCAGAAATGGGCGGAGAGTTCAAACGATGTCTGATAAACGGGAATTCAAGCACCCCATACAGACTCTATGAAACCATATGATTTGACTCACGGACACGAATTTTGGAAGTACATTTTGTGTCAGCTGACTTTTGCTTTAAAAGGGTTAACTTTAACGCTGACCCAGCTATCTTAAGGAGATAAAAATGTTAAACGCGAAAGTTAAGAGATCACGTGCGTCACTTCATATCTAAGTTGCTTTATATCACTCTCGAGAACCACAAAAGAAAACAAAATCGATAAGAGACTGAAAATAGTGTTGGTTTGATAAGAACGAATGCCAGCATTAAAAGTTCACGAGAAAAAAAAGAATACCGATAACTACAACAAACCACCACCAACAACAACAACAACAACGAAACGATACAAAAACTCTAGCTACATGTTACATCCCATTTTTCTTAGACAAAATAATTTGAACCTATACCACAATAATTGTAATCCCGGGAAATCATACTGGTCTCATGGAGCGCTCAGCGGACCAATAGCTGAAACTAACTTTCCTAAATATACTATAGTTGGGATTCCTTGACTTGATAGCCTGACAGCTGGAATTTGGTTTAATCCACTGAGTTGATAACATAAACTGGCCACCGTAAAGAGATTCAAAACGAGCGAAGCGCTGGCAATTCGTCAGAACGTTGATTTAACTTAGTTTCACTCGCCTACCGACATACTGGCACAGTACCTTTCGAAACGTTACCGTGATACCCCTTTATCCATTCAACGATAAACACTACAGAGAATTATTAGTTAATTAGTTATTTAATCTACTTTTGATCAGAGTTTCACCAGATGGACAATTCTAATTTCCTGCTCATCTGTAATCCACTTTTACCTTTTTAATCCTTTTCAGCTTAAGGTTGATAAGATAATGCAATTTAAATAGGAATTAGTTCTCGATCTCCTCAAGGAAACTACGTATATAGAGGATATTACACGGTGGCGAGAAGATATGAATTTTATGTTCGAGTGGCAAGAACAATATCTCACGAGTGAGCGAAGCGAACGAGTGAGATATTGTTCTTGCCACGAGAACATAAAATTCATATATTCGAGCCAACGTGTAATGTTCTTTTTATTATATGGAGAAACCAATTCAACAAAAGCAAAAGGCGAGAATCGTGACGTCATTGAACGATACGACACTCACAAAGGTGACATACGGAAAATACGCCACTCGGGTCCCGGATGAAGTGGCGTATGGAATCTACGAGTGGTTTAGTTCCCAGTAAAACACTCTCCTCCATAAAATAAATGTACTTTATGACTCGGCCATACTTTCCCCAAAAAGAATAAAAGCATCTTTTGGAAATCTTAAAAGTATGAGAATAGGCTGTACAGTATTTTCGCCCACGTTGTCAGCATTTATGCAAGTTTATTGGAACAAAAGGAGGCGTTTTTGAAAAGAGTTTAACTCCCACAGGATTGGTTTGGGACACCAACATGGCTGCCGCTTCATTGTTTTGGGAAACCAATATGGCTGCCATGACGTCATGTGAAAACACTCTATTAACGGAGGTATTCTGTATTAACGAGTTGCCTCAAGCCTCTGTTTCAAAGCGAGGCTAAGTGTGAAGCCATTGATATGAAAATGATTTTTTATTCTCACGCAAATAAAACTCATTTTCCCTCATTTTGCACTCAGCCTCGTTTGGTGTGACTCTCCACAATGGTTCTGAAAATACTTTAGGTTTGTTGACGGTTCATAGGTTATGAAATTTTAAATCTTATCCTTCAACGTCACTATGGAATTTAGGTGCTAAAAGTCTTGGCATCACTCTCACGGAAAAGAATGACAATTTCCCGAGGGTATACATACCGCCTTCGCGAGACCATGAAAATCTGCACCATTTCAACAAATATCTAAAATGGATGTTTAACCCTTTAAGCTCCACGATCCACATACAAATTCTCCAAACTGATCTCAATACATTTCCTTACTGAATTAGTTGAGAGAATTTGTTCAAAGATCAAAGCATTTTCTCTGAGGTGATCATTTTATTTATTCTCATAAACCTATCTTTTAATAAGGTATTGACATTGTTAGGAGAAATTTGATGTTGGTCACTCTTGGGACCCAAAGGCTTAATTTGTGATGAACAATGACACGTAAGGCAAGAAAAAATCAACTCCTCGTACACTTATTAAATGGTCCTTAAACACTGACCTCAAAACCACCAGGTGCAAAACTCTCTATGAAAAAAGAGAGATTCAAGACGTAAATAATATGAGGGTACAAACACCAATTGGAACCGTCTGAGGCTCGGGTCACTGTGCAATTCTTCTATGCCTTAACACCCTTATATCATTTTACATATTCTCTTTACCGGTTTCCGAATAATTTTTGTAATACTGAGAGGCATATTTTCCTAAAAAAATCAACACCAGTGTGGTGACTATTTCCTTTATTCTCAAGACTTTTACATTCGGTACATATGATATGTTGAGAACAAATCAAATGCTTGTCACTCTTAAGTGTTGAAGAGTCAAAAAATTGAGCTCTCATTTTAGTGAACACTCTACTCTATTTAAGGTTTGTTTATCTGGAGTTTCGTCAATACCACTCTTAACGTTATTCGGCAAGATTGAACGGATGCACAGATAACAGTACATCCCTGATACTATATACTGCAAAGGAAGATAATAGTTATTTTAGGTAGGCAAAAGCAGAGATGATAGATATCTTAAGCGCAGCGCAATAGAAAGATCTAGAAAAACCGACTAAGTGGCCAGAGGGACGCCGCATTTTTCAAACAAAGATCCACAGAATTCGTCTTTTCAGAATATTAACAAGTTGTACGCAGATAGAAAGATAATTGATAACACAAGGAGTTAAAGCCACCAATATTGGGAACCGTGACTTTGGTTATATGTAGCTCTCCAGCCCTTTCAACAAATAGAATAAGCCACAGAAGCTATCATCACGATTAGACACGACCTTGTGCATTAAGTGCTGTGTCATCGTAGAGAGGTGTGTAAGGCATGTTTTGCCCGGGGGTTTGAACATATTTCTTGTCTATGGAATCATAGTTGACCTGGTGGGAGTGATGCCAAAAGCTTGATTAACCAATCTTTACGTTTACCATAATTACATGTACTTCCTGCCTGTTTTTGGTATTTTAATAAAGTTAAAACTAGGACTATGAGAACGAAAAAACAATGAAAATAGGTAGAAACGTTAGCACCCAAGCTTCATTTAAGAGCAGCAAAAATCGAAAGAATTCCTGGTCATATACTCAGAGAAATAACATACGATGGGCAGCATTCTCTGAGCGCATTGCTAAAGTACAATTTGACACTAAACAAAGAAAGGAACGTGTCACACTGTTTAGCTGACACGGTCAATCGAGGACATATGAAAATGTGAATCTTCTAAATATTTACAAAAATACCTTTATACCCTATGCTTTATATTCAAATGCGCCCTCATCAGCACCAATTCTTACAAGCTTTTTGACGGAGGTTGGGAAGAAACAATAAATCTTAATTAAGTCAATTTAAGTCCACCCAGATTTGCTAATGTGGTGAAGTCTCTTCTCTCACTTGACACGGCACAGCCAGAAAATCGGTACGTAAGACTACCGTGATTCCACAAAAAATGATCTATGAAAAAGGGGACAATTTAAAATCACATTGGGTAATTCAAGCTTTTACACGGGGGTATTATAGCCTTTTAAAGGTTTAAAATGCATGTCTATTGACAAAAAACTTACCAAAGGGTCTTTCAATTTGGGTATATTCAACATGAAACATCGATTCAACAGGTTATTTAAGACAGAGATGAGAATCCGACTAGTAGACGGTTGAAAATCATACGACAACGCATAGCTGGGCATGTTCTAACTAATTTCGAGATAATTTCATCGATGTGTTTGATATTGTGATGTAACACTCTTTCGAACATCCAATGTCTATGATTTTGAGGACGAAATCAAGGATGCATTAAGGAGAAATTTTTTCATGAGATTTACAAACCCATAAGTTAGTATGCCACATGATCTTCTTTGTCCTTGGATTTAAATTTGCCGAGGAGTTAGAGTGGTTTTCGTTTCAGTGTCGTAAAACCAAAACCAAAGTAATTACTCTGGCCAATCACATAGGACACAGACAATACATTGAACCAATCAAAACTCGAAGTAATTACATGTGGCTGACGCAAAGCGCGGGAAAATGCATGCGAGCGCGTCACAATTGGCTTTGGTTTTACTTCTGATTGGATGAAAAGGTGGCGCGAATCTTTTAAGCCAATCGCATCGTGTAGAAAGTGCAAAACCAATTACTTTTCGACACTCAAATGAAAACCGCTCTAACAAATAAAAGCTGCCACTGAGCCACTTTGGATACATTAATCTATCAAAATACTCTCGGAACACTGAGCTTAAAAACCCTTTGGAATAGCAAAAATATTTTCAAGTAACCGGGGGTGAAAGGGTCCAACAGCAGAACGCAGATTCTCTGAAGATGTTCATAGTCCGTCTCGTGTAACCTTGCTACCAGTGTCTCTTCTTCATGTAAAGAAATTTCCTGGAAACGAGGTTGCATGTCTGACCAAAACGGACACAAGCGCAACACACCCATTCGCATGCAGTGAAATGGTCCATTCAAAACCCACACAAGTTTTCTGAAATATGGAAGAAATTTTAAAAACAGGTTTCCTGTTTCAGCAGTGAATCGGCGGAAAATGCGGAAAAAAGCTGGTTGAACATCTGAGGAATGAGAACACCTTTAATATTATCTCTTTCTTTTCGCGACAAAAATGCAAGAATCATAGGGATCAATAAGATGAATGGCAATGAACTTGCTTAAAAGGAACTCGTCGATCACAAAGGAATCTGGTGGTTGAAGCTTTAGATTAGGCAATCGTTCAAACAGCCCGGTAAAATGTTTTCTTGATGAAAAGAAAACTTAAGCTAAAATTATGGGTCAGTGACCCTACAAATGTTCTATTAATTGTCTTTACAAAACCGTTCTGGCCGACTAAGGCTATTTACAGTTTTAAAGCTCCTCGATTGACTTGAAGCTATTCATTATTTAAGAGCAATATTCATAGAAACGTTGTTGGGATAGTGGTGTCTTTTACGGAAGGAAATGGCTAAAAAGCGATGATTTTACGCGGAGTTGATTTAGTACATTACAACTAACATACATCGTTTCGTTTTTCCTTTTTCTGACTACCTCAAGAAAACAATAATACAAATAAGAAAAAGACAACTAAACCGTCTGAAACAAACGGAATGCTTTCAGTCAAATGGCCACACTCCCAATTTTGTTCACTCGAAGCCGGTTACGCTTTTGTTTTAATTAAGCAAGTTATAGCTTCCATACAAAACGCAGGAAACAAAATGCCAAGTTATTTGCAATAAAAATATTTCCGATTTTCCCACGCACAGGACAGCTTGTCAGAGAAAAAAAAGTCTGATTAGAACAGGAAAATAGTCTATGTATCTGAATCCCGAAAAATAATTAACTACGGGATACATCGTTTTTTATTGTTTTCGAAACACAGTTTTATTGAATTCTCTGCTGAAACAGGAAGTTCTGGCAGCTGCGCCTACAGATGCCCACTGGCTGACACTCCATGTATTCATGATTATCGATCTTTAATTCCTTGCTTAAAAATAAGTGGCTTTAGTATACTCTCTATTCTACTGGGGTACATTTATTTTTCTCGACGATAAAACGTCTTATTACGACTGCATTATCACGACTGGATTGACTATTATGGGGTTGCATTTTTATAAGAGTTACTAGAATAGGGACGTACATTTCAGAATTTGGGCGGTCAGAAAATTCCGCAGGTATGTAGGGATTTAAAAATAGAAAGATTTACCTCACATTAAGTTAAACCGAAATGTATCAGTTCATTTCAGGATGACCTTGTTAAAAGGATTTATAAGGTAGATGCATAAACAGAAAGTGACTAAGTTGGGATTGCGAAAATCACTTTTTTCCCAAAGTTACTAAGATGGGGTCTATAATATGGCTAGAAAATAGACTTTAATGGGGTAGGGGTTCTGAGATGCCAGCGGCACAAACCCAGCAAAAATTAACCCAAGAAAACCCCCCGGGTCTCAGGACCATAACAACATGCGGAACAAACAAAAACGGTGTTAAGAAGTCGGCATGTATGAGAAACGGAAACCGAAGACAACTTCGAAGTTTCAAGAACCATAGTTTAAAGTAGGGTGGGCTTATAAAGCTTCCTTGATTATTTCAAGCCATTTTGACGCGTTTTTTTTTATCACATTAAGTTAGAATTTTTTTCCTCTAATACGTCTACTATAAATAGCATCCCAGCTTTTAAATCTACAGGATGAAACAAAAAAGAAAGAAACAGGAGCTAAAGAATGCTGGGTCTTTTAATTAAGAACTGACTTTAATTCTTTAATTTTTTCAGATGGGGATGAAAACTGCAATACGCTTATGTTTTATTATTATTATTATTATTTTTACGTTTTTTTACATACATTAATCTTCCCTTATGAGAATTCTTTTCTCACAAAGTGTTTTTCATTGGGTAGAAAATGAAAAAATTACCGGGAATGAGGAATGTAATTGTAATATGTGCAAATCAGATGGACCTAATTCGGATCTGGCGTTATCTAAGCTATTTTCACGGTAGCAGTCTTGTTGTTTTCTCGTCAAAAAAATGTATTTTATTTGTTCGAGAATCCATTTTCACGAATGTTCCACCACTCGAAACTGCCACCACAAATTCATGTTGTATTTCAACACCAAAGATTAAACTTTTTATCCTTGTGAAAAACGGAAACCAAACCGAACGGAGTGTGACCAAGAATTACATTTCTACAGACACCGCAAAATTTCCATCTGTTAGCGCCGTCAAGTTAATTTTTCCTTTACACCCAAATAATATACCTGCTGGATTAAGAACAGGTCCGGCGTAAATAATGACTTTAAGCCAATGACGGAATTGTAAGTAATGGGAAATTTTGGGAACAATAGCGTCAACCGCAGCGAAAACGTCACTTATTGACTAGCATTCTTTCGAACTTCATTACAATTAACCCGAGTGGCTCGATTTGGAATTGTTAACTACAATTGTAGATTCAGAGATAGAAAGAAAACGTCCTCCCGAAAATATTGCATAAGCAAATTTCACTGACTTCGTATAGTCGCGCAAGGACACAAAGAAATGTTCTAAAAAGTGGAACGCACGTGAAAGAATGTTAGTTTTGCTCGTCATCTCCATTGATTTGTTGACGTTTTTGCTGCCGCCGCCGTGGTACTTGCTTTAATATGCTTCCTATACTTTCCGCAAACACAAGAACAAATGATTAACAAATGTATCAGACTGAGCCAAGGTGTCCGGATATTGGAAAAATGCTTGGTGTAGTATTTGGTGCAGCACTTTAAACATGAATAAAATATTGAAGAAAGTTAAGCAAAAGGTTTGCAATGTAGCAGAGATTGTGAGATTTCCACAGTGTTGACTTCATCAATAATTAATGACATGACGCTTCTTACACGTTGCGAGGCAACAACACCCCACCTTACATACACGCGTAAGGTACGTGTTAAAATTGTCGATTGCAGTATGGACAATTTTCGCAGAACTCGATACAGTCGATAGTGCTAAAACATATCACAAGGCCAGCATCTGTATATTTTTTGTAACCCTAATCCTAACTACGACTCGTTTAGAAAATCCACTATAGAAACCAAAAGGGCGATCAGTGTACTGTATAAGTACAATGAACAACAAAGTTAGGATAAGTCAAGCAGGCGAAGGCTAATTTGCTTGTTTACATTGGAGCACTGGACAAATATGAAATCATTTGACACTCAGTTGCAATTCTGAGCTAGAGGAGTTTTACCGGTTTTATGAGGGGGATATAGAGACGCAGAATAAAAGTAAAACAGTCTTGGGCAATAACAAATACCTTTGTACTTATTATTACTATATATCAGAGTAATCATTACCCTTCTCTTATTCGTTTCAAGCGAATGCGAATACGAGTTATAAAGGTGGTACTCTTTTTTTGGGTCCTTTGCCATACATTTGCTATAGCTAGATAAAAAACTATTGTTCGTTATATCGCTTTCTCTGTCCTAGGGGAGATTCTTATCTCAGTGTTTCACTTTATTCCTTTACGGTATACCTCTGAGTAGTCCCCCTCAAAAGCAAGTTTTATGCAACTTTACGACCTGACATTGACTAACGATTTCGTTTGGGTTTTTACGTGGTAGGCTTAAATATCAAAAGTTCTGTTTATGGTCTGCAAAGTAATCTTTTTATCCACAGACCATACAGAGGTCGCAAACCGAAATTATAAGAGAATTTTATCAAGCCGACACTCCCGGCCATGAGAACGAACAAGCAAGGGCATAATAGAGGTTGACCGCTCTCAATAGGTTCGGTTTACAGTAATTTACTGACTATTCTGTCCGCCGGGACCCTGATAACTGGCCGCTACATGTAAATGGGGGGAGGGTGGTCGCTTAATTTGAGGCGCAGTTCTCATGTACTTAAGCGGATTTCCACTCCCCTTGGGAATTCGAGGTGTGTAGGAGTCGAAAAATCCAACAATTTGCGACCACAAGCTAACATAATGCAGTCTCAAATCTTTGACTTTGTGATGGATTTACTTCCGCTTTGCCAGCGAATCGAGTTTGTGTTCAGCTCGAAAAACGGGTCAACAATGTGGAAGATTTTGAAATAAAGAAACACGTTTTTGCAAAAGGCAAGAGGCGCGCGGATTTCACTTTCTAATGGCGAATCCGAATCCAAAAACCGCGAGAAGTCAGCCTCATGCGGCCAGATATAACGATAATAGTACAGCCACTAGGACACATTCCTCCTTTTTTTTAAACTGGAAACCAAGTTTGCGGGTGTGTCTCGCAACCAGAAATAGTGAGCTCAAACGCGCCTGTTTTAAACATAGTTGAACTAGCCTTGACAAACACTTAAAAATGATTAAGCTTCGCGACAAGGACTGTAAAAAACTCACCATTTTGACGNCCTGACATTGACTAACGATTTCGTTTGGGTTTTAACGTGGTAGGCTTAAATATTAAAAGTTCTGTTTATGGTCTGCAAAGTAATCTTTTTATCCACAGACCATACAGAGGTCGCAAACCGAAATTATAATAGAATTTTATCAAGCCGACACTCCCGGCCATGAGAACGAACAAGCAAGGGCATAATGGAGGTTGACCGCTCTCAATAGGTTCGGTTTACAGTAATTTACTGACTATTCAGTCCGCCGGGACCCTGATAACTGGCCGCTACATGTAAATGGGGGGAGGGTGGTCGCTTAATTTGAGGCGCAGTTCTCATGTACTTAAGCGGATTTCCACTCCTCTTGGGAACTCGAGGTGTGTAGGAGTCGAAAAATCCAACAATTTGCGACCACAAGCTAACATAATGCAGTCTCAAATCTTTGTCTTTGTGATGGATTTACTTACGCTTTGCCAGCGAATCGAGTTTGTGTTCAGCTCGAAAAACGGGTCAACAATGCGGAAGATTTTGAAATAAAGAAACACGTTTTTGCAAAAGGCAAGAGGCGCGCGGATTTCACTTTCTAATGGCGAATCCAAATCCAAAAACCGCGAGAAGTCAGCCTCATGCGGCCAGATGTAACGATAATAGTACAACCACTAGGACACATTCCTCCTTTTTTTTAAACTGGAAACCAAGTTTGAGGGTGTGTCTCGCAACCAGAAATAGTGAGCTCAAACGCGCCTGTTTTAAACATAGTTGAACTAGCCTTGACAAACACTTAAAAATGATTAAGCTTCGCGACAAGGACTGTAAAAAACTCACCATTTTGACGTACTTGCCGGGGAGGCATTCGATGTCGTAACGCTCTCGTGTGAAGGTTCCTTCTTCTGCTTCCCGTACTGAATGATGATGGGTTTACCTTTAAACAAATAGCCATTCACCAAATTCAACGCCGCAGTTGCTGAATCAATATCTAAAGTCAAAAACAAAACGTGCATAAATCGAGCATAAGTGCTACGCCACAAAATGAATTTAACCGCAGATGTAATGAAACCAGCCGCAAAAAGTAGCGCCGGCGCCAAATTTAATAAAAATGGAAGTAATCTATAATAAAGTGGTTTAAAACGTCTGATTACTTTTTAACGCAAAATATAATGACTTTTCCAGTAAATATAAAGGCTCTAAAGGAGATAGATAAATCATATCAAAAATCTCATTAACTTGTTAATTACATTTGTGTGCGAATCATGGCAAGGTCCATTCTTGATCTTTCCCTTGACGCGGGTTTATTAACATTTTGCAATAAATTATAAAGCAAACATGACTACACTATTCTTAATGCTGAGGTTCTTTTCAATTGCAATAATATGTAATGCAGCGTATAAACCACCGCTGAATTAGTCGGCTGGACATGAAACTTTACTGTCGTAAAAAACCAAAGTCATAAGGATCAAGAAACAGGTCTATGAAAGAGAAAACTCGATGAAGCATACTTCTAGAAAATAATACTCTTCAAGCATTATTTTTTTAAAACATTTCTAGGGCCTCCATGCGATTGAATACGTTTTAATGCACGGTATCGTATTGATTCATTAATCCTCCCCCGCCGAATTACCCTCTAACTAGGAAATCCATATAAACTAGACCGGACATTATTCAGAGGTTTCCGAAAACAAAAAAATTTGCCTTTAAGTATTTAAGCTTTCAAAAGTGATACTGTGAAAGGTTTGAACCCAGGAGTCATTTCAAAAGTAGGTTGAGTTTGATCGTCCGGGTGAACGTACTCCTGAATAGGACTGCTGTTGTTGACAGTGACTGACGTTTCGACAACCTGTGCGGTAATCATCTTCAGAGTCAAAGTGATACTGTTTTCTCAGCTTTCTCTTACGGGGCAGCTTAAGAAAGAGGACCAAAATTTAGGAAGCGGAACGGCCACACCACTACCCTCAGCGGTACAGCCAGTACCCCACGCATGCGCACAGATATGTCTAATCTGCAAGTGAAAATTTGGGGGGGGGGATCACTTTCTTGAGGAGCACTCATCTCCAGATATTTCCCTCTCACAAGACATTCTGAGAGATTTCCCTTTTCCTACATGAAATTTCTAAGTACAGAGAACAGTCTAAGTATCTTCAATTTTTAAGGAAAAAACGTTTAGAAGGGCGTGAGTAGAACTCGAACCCGACCGAAGTGTAGAATCTGCAGTCCATCTCCCATACCATTACGCCACTGAGGATTTGCTGACGATTGATGGTTTGATTTGAAGATATATAGCAACAACCCTAACCCCAAATAGAAGCTAACCGTTTATCGAGTCAGTGCTTAACCCTAATCACTACTCTCAGTGCCCGTTTATGGAGTCAGTGCTTAAACCTAATCACTATCCTCACGGCTTAACCCTTAACAGCCTCTGCAGCCAGCTGAACATTGCATACAAACGGTTCAGGAAGGACTGGAAATTAAATGGGAAGGCTCGGTTACTATTCTAAGTTTAGTGGCCAAGATCCCCAAGAAAGTGATCCCAAAAAACATTTTTGCAATCGGCAAAGGTAGCCATGGGACATAACATAAATTAAAATATTCGAACCTATTACAAAGAACTGTCTACGAAAAAAAAAACTAACTATCAGGGAAATCTAGTCCGCTTTGTTGCATTGCCAGTTACTCGTCCTTACCCGACATGGACGTTTACGTTTCCGTTTATTGAAATAATCCACAAAAGCATAGCCATCATGTGGATATAAGAAACAAAATAACAATAGAAAAGCAAAATAAACAAAAAAAAGTGTTAAATAGATTAATAAGTTAGGATAAAAAACCAATTCATATCAAAATTATTCCGGCCAGCCTTAAAGCGTTTGAGGTTCGGCTGAGTAATCACTACAGGAGGTGATGGAACTTAAAGTTAGCGAAAAATTACTCGTAAATGAAATTCGACATGCAATAACCGAGGTAAAACAAAATAAAAATGGAATTCGACACACGTGTTATTTATACATAGAAATAAGTGGCAAGGAGAAACTTGACCAACCTGGCATGGTCACAAACGCCTGGCCATTCATCTTTCCTTTCATCAACCTGAAAGCGATTTTAGGGGCCTGTTTTTCCTGGAATCTAATGAAGAGAGAGACTAAGTCTGCCTCTGATGTCTTGTGATGAAGGTTCTTGATAAACAGCACCTAAAGTCAATCCAAAGAAGTCGCGCTGTTAAACTTCCACTGTGAACTTGTACTAAGCCTCGTTGGGATATGTGTTTCCCAGGTGGGGGAACACATATCACTAGGGATATGTGTTTCCCAGGTGGGTGAACACATGTCATTAGGGATATGTGTTTCCCAGGTGAGGGAACACCTATCACTAATACAACACACCCAGTCCAACAGGCAAGGCTAAAATGGCTAATAAGAGTTAATCCATAGAAGGAGTCACTGTATAAACAAATGTAGTTCAAATGTAGAGATCTGGTTAACTTGAGTAATTTGCCCAAGCTTTAGCTCTTTGGAAGCAATATCTAAGTAAAATAGCAGTCCTTAAAAACTGAGAAATGAGCGCTAGTTACGCCCGATTATAAATGAATATGAAGCATATCAACCTTGTTCGGCTCCCCAGGATGATAATTGGTGAATTTTGGAATTTCTTTAATTTGCTCCAAGGACAATCTATTTTGGATGATTTCCTCCTTGTCAATGGGTTGAATATTTGCTGGCAAATTAGCAGTTCTACTGTCCTCCTTGGACGCACTGCTGGGTCTCCGCACACATAATTCTTGCTGCTCTTCTGTTGTAGAGGACTCTTTGCTACAATTGTTATCTGTCCCACTGGAAGTAGACGATTCAAGTACCCGTTTTGATTTGGTCAAGATCCTGTCTTGTTCCAGCAATGTTTGCAGCAGTGGATCATTCAGCGGTATAGCTAAAAGAGGCATCAATCATTTTAAGGGGCTGAAATTATTACTTAGTGATTTAACCCTTTAGGCCCTAAGAGTGATCAGCATCAAATTTCTCCTTGTAATATCAATGCTTTGTAAAACAGAGTGGTCATGAGAACTACGGACATGATCACACAAGATGAATTTGCTCGATATTTTATCAACTTCTCCCCACAACTTCTGTAGGAAACGAACAGGGGCAACAAATGAGAATTCAAATTTTGATCTCAGGGTTTAAAGGGTTAATACCTTTAACTATACACAAAATGCTCCAGTAGGGCTATGAAGAAAATATCAAACAAATTTCAGACCTTTCATCTTCTCTTTTCAGCGGCGGTCAGCAGGAAAGATGGCTGTAATTTTTTTAGCACCGTTCATTTACAGTGAATTTGGCTTATCAAAGCTGCGTTTTCGTCTTTTTTGTTGTCTTTATCCATTTACGTACTATTTAGGAAGGTCTAACGACAAAAGACAGAATTCGATAATTTATTTCATTATTCATTCAAAATATTTCCCCAACTCTGGTTGGCTAAAAGCACAAACATATTTCACCATAACCAGTTACTGATGACCAAATTTGGAAGAATTTTGAGTTCAACCACAAAATGACATCAAAAATGCAGCCCGCTACAGGATAAGGCACCGTTACCGAAAAGACCTGGGAACGAGATTGAGTCGTTTTGGTTGTGAAAACAAAAATGGCGGACAGTTCACTCGTTTCAAGAGTTAGAACTACAGCTGGAACAAGGCGAAATAATAGCTAAAAAGATAGCACAAGGCAGCAAAAAGACGACTCAAAGGGCGACATCTGCTATTTGGAGAATATTTGCGGAGCTGGACAAACCTAAACGTACACTATTGAAGATGAACTTAACATCGATGCAGGTAAGCATGTCTTAGCTATGTTCCAAACTAGGAATTACTTTGAATGAATAATAAAGCAGTTAATGAATTTGGCTTTCGTAGGATATGAAGAGTTAAGGTGATCTCGGAGGGTATCTTCCACATGGGTCGATAACACCCTCCTCGATCTGCTTAATTCTTCATATCATACTCAGCCTCATTCATGAATTCCTAAGTATTCATATATAAATTTAACTATTTTAGACTTCCTCAATAGCGTAGAAATTGTGCTTTTTCTTTTCTCTTTTCTTTTTCTTTTTCTGTGTGTATTTGTGCTTCAGTTATCTTGCTGACCTGTAATTTATTTCTATTTAATGCTAATGTCAACTGGCTGCCTGGCTCTGCTAGCCCCTAGCCAGTATTCTAATTTTACTTTAATATTTCCATTGCCTTAATATTTTCATTGTTAGCAAGAGTGAGTACAATTAGGGTTTTTGAAAACTGTTCAGGCTAACAGTTTTTCAAAGATGATCCCTGCTGCTTGCAACTTCAAAAATAGTGCTCAGGAGACATATTTGTTTGTCTCGGATCTCTGGAATTTTGTCATTTGCAAGTAATTTCTTTGCTTACTTTAAGTTCCATAGCCATTGAGGATGAGTGATTGGCAAAATTAAACAAAATGAACTGAACTGCCATGACACAGCCCCTTTAAAAGTTGTATTTCCACAGTTCACATCATCTTCATATAAACTGTACCTTGTTTTTTAGGTTGGACCAAGTGATTCAAACTTCTCTCCTTTACTGTTCCTTTATGCAGTGATTGTTCCACTTCCAAAGCATGCCTGCTCAGAACTCTCACATTAGAATACAGATCAGGGACAGTCAATGCATCTTCTCGCATTTTGATTCTTTCCTCAAGATCCTTAATCTTCTTTTGTTCAGCTTCAGGATTTGCTACGAATCTGCCTCTTTTTGGAGCCTTGAAAAGTCCAACAAGGAGATATGTTAAACTTAAAATCTTGTAAATTTTTGTCACTTTACTAGCAGAGATAGACTGCGAATATACAGCCATCTCTGCTTTCTTCTCACCACTAGGGACATTTCACAAAAACATCCATGTCAGTGAGGAGCAAGGAGAGAAGGCTGTATTTGCTAGAACCTTGTTCACAATAGATTGAACATCAGACATGGCTTGTGACCTGATCAGTCTGGTCCAAATCACTGAAAGGTTGTATCTCTCCCCACCTCTATTCAGGGATGGTCTGTAAGCTCTGATATGCACCCCTAGTGAGCCACAATTCCAACACAATTATTAAACTACATACTACATACATAAAATCTATGATAGAGCAATAATTTATTGATACTATATGTTATATTGGCATTCCTCTGTGCCCTATTGAATTCTAATACACTGTGCAAACAAAGGCATGTCCAATAGCCCAGGGCTAGTGGACTTTGTAATTGGGATAGTAAATTCTGTTCTTACAATGTAACTTACCCAATGGGCAATTGAATTTTTTGGGGGAATTCAAATTACATGTACAGGAGAACTGTAATTAATCCTGCTCATCTTGGAGGGAGGGGGCTAGTTACAAAAAAACTGACTCTCTTTGAACTCTGTAATAACAAGATAAATTCAACAATTACTTAAGTATAGGTGCACTTTGGCTTTAAGTTGTACTATGTAACATATGCCATGAAGGGGGAAAGGGCATAACAGAGATGAGTGGGGGGGGGGGGGGGGGGGTTAAAAACCCCCGGGGATAAAATAAGGAAGTATTTTTTTATTAATTATTTTTTTTTTTTTTTTATTATTTATTTTTTTTTTTTCTTGTATTATCACTATTTTTTTTATTATTATTTGTATTATTATTTTTAGTAGTTTTTTTATTAGTATTATTATTAGTAGTAGTAGTAGTAGTAGTAGTAGTAGTAGTAGTAGTAGTAGTAGTAGTAGTAGTAGTAGTAGTAGTAGTAGTAGTAGTAGTAGTAGTAGTAGTAGTAGTAGTAGTAGTAGTAGTAGTATCACACGCCATATGGAGAGGAGGGCGGACTACACAACAAAATACAGCGCGATAAAGCATCTTGAAAGAGAAAATAAATAAAAATGAATAATAAAACAGAGCTCCGAGGGTGTTAGCCACCTAGACCTTCAAGTGAGGCGAGGCCGGCGGAAACCAATTAAGACAAAGGAGTGGGGGGGGGGGGGAGTAGTTAAAACCCTCTGGGAATCAACTAAGACATTATTTATTCATTAATCTATTTATTTATTTATTTATCATTAATTTTTGCCCATTTACTGAATTATTTATTCATTTATCTGATAATTAATTTTACTTACTTACATATTTTTTTCTCTAACAGAGCTCTTCTTTTCTGTTATGAGTTGCATTAACAACATTATACAACAGGCCATGCGGACTAAAAATAAATTATTATTTTGTAAAATTTACCTTTGGAATGTGACCTTCTTGTTCAAGTTTGAACTGAATTTCATCTTCATTAAACCCACACTCCTTGAGAAACTGCACATGCTGTTCATGATTCTGTAGGGATTTGTAATCTTTTAAGCTCATAGCACCCGTTTTATCGGGGCAAAACGGAGCATAACTGGATGATGATTGAAATGATTTCTTTCGAGTGAGCTCACTGCAAAAAAAGAAGCAGAAGAAAAAGAAAAGAAAAAAATGAAAAAGAATAATCAATAAAGTTCAGAGACAGTGCCAAAAACAAAAATAGAATTTCAAAGCTAGTCACCACCAGGCAGCTCGATAAGTTTTCACTCTAGTATTTTGAACAGCTGTCCAAGGATCGGAGGATATTGGTTTTTGTTGAAACTCGACTTATGTGCCACCCCGCCAACATTGTAGCTTCTTTGTACTAAGGATAACGGTTAACGAAATCAACATAATGTCCAAAACGTCTATTTTCTTTTTCTTTTTTTAGTGTTAGGTTTGATTTCCAGTGTCACCTAATTTTTATGTGCGTACATGCGTAAAATTTATGTTTGCAAATAAAATAGAGGCAATGCATGAAGGATCGCTTGTAAGTGTAAAAGTTGAACTTCGCTCAACTTCTCGTTTAAGCTCAGCACTTTTTATCTTGCCTCTATTTTATTTATATGATTAAAATTTACATGCGTTAACATGCGTAGCCAAAAATGTGTCAGTGGAAATCAACCTTAATGGAAAACAAATTTTTGGCGACTTCTTTTTTTCTATCTGAAGACCAAAAATTTTTATCTAGTCACCAGACAATACCCATAGCAAAAACGTTAATCTGTACTGTATGTAAGCCACCTGCTTATTCTTGACCTATCAAGTACGTCAGAGCCATTTATGCAAGGAAAAACACTGTAGGACAAAAGACCCCTCCCCCGCCCCTGCATCTAAATTAAGACACAGACAAAAGGCCCAAAATTGCCTTCTTAACTTAAATAAGACAGAACTAAGCTAACGTGTGCCTGTATGTGTAGTTCACAAAAAACAGTACAGTTCAAGTCAAGTCTACGACTGCTGTTTTTTAAGATGTGTCGTTTGCAAGACACGTGACATTCCTCTCCATATCAATAGCCCTATTATCAGTGTCAACAAAACCAATGACAATAATGTTACATTTGTATTATTAACCTTTGCAGACTGACATTTGTATCCAACTGATTCTTCACCATGTCTTTTAAATGTTGATCAGCCTCAGACTCAGTCCCAATCCCTGGGACACCAAGCCGCTGATCCTCAAATGGCCTGGTGTCCCCTCTGTTCATGCGAATCACTCCATGACTTTGATACCTAGCTGGATTCCCACTGCAAGAAACAGAGTCAGATTAATCAATTTAAATTGAGGTACAGGTGTATGGCCTCTGTGGTTTTACTAAGAAGATAAGGGTACTACAAATATGTGAATCATGTGCAGAGAGAATAATCCCCTAGATAGTTGTATCCACCTTTTTGACAATTAGGGCCAGAACTTTAAATATGTATGTAGGTCTATGTTCAAGCACTACTGTCTAAGGGCTGTGCTCCAGCAGAGTCAGGTGGCCCCTGGCGCCTAAATTGAAACTGGGTGACTTAAATATCATACTTTTTCAAGAAAATCATATGCTAAGCACCATAGATTTCACAGATTCAGAACACTGGGCTCCCTTCAATTTTCCTTTGAGCACAGCCTTGTATCCAGTTGTTTCCTTTGACAACAAACTTTACTCCACTTTGTCTTTCTTTACTCCAATGTACATGTAGGTACCAGCGACTTAACTGTTGATGGGGTAACCCTGCAATGGACTGGCAGAGCACCCCATCCAAGGTGGTTTAGGTTACAAAAACTGAGTCAAGCTCAGGTGAGCTCAGGTGGCTTAATTTACTTTACATTACAATCCACTCCACCCCCTTCCTCACCCCACTTACAGTTGGTGTACCCCACTCCCAACCTAACTCTGTGCTTCCTGTATATGTAAGTAGTAACCTACCAAGGAATTCCTGTTTCCTCATACGACGTTGGGTCAGGTTTGAATGGCCTTCCACTAACTGGAAATTGATGAAACATCAATAGACTAGCTTACAACCAGTTGCAGAAATGTTGAAAAAACTAGCCTGTGTGGCAGGCGTTGGAAATGGAGGGGAAAAAGAGTTTTAGCCGCAAGAGAAACGTGAGGCCTGGGGCGCACAAGGAGGGAGGGAAGGAAATGTCTACCAGGAAACCATTGTTTTCGCCATCCCACCTACTAAAAATGTATGCAAAAATAAAGCAACTGTGAATGACTAGCTCTCAAATAATGCACTTATTTTTAGCTTTTGTTTTCCTAAAACAAGAGATCTGAAGTGAAGGTACATACTATATTTAAAAAAGTTCAAATGTGGTCGTCCATTGAAAGAAAAAAGTTGCAACGATACGTGGCTTGTTATATAAAATCCAGCACAAAACTATTACGTCATTTGCTGAAGGAAACATGCTGGTCTTAGCAACTTGCATGCAACATTTGTCTAAACAAAAATTAAAAACACTTTGCTGGCTCTCGAATTGGATCCTGCAGAGCATAGAAAAGAAAGAATGCTGGTAGTGGGGAAAGAAGACCTGAACTTTGAAGATCTACAAGAAGGCTACAATCAATTATTAATTACAAGTAAGTTCCTGGAGGATTTATAATGTCTATAACCAGCAAGAAGAAGTCTTCAAACCAAAAATCGTATTTAGCAATCTGTTCGTTGATGAAGCATAGCCTACGTGGTAGGCATTTGAGGTCAAACAGCAGATAACAAACACACAGGCCAGGCAGCATGATATTTCCTTTCTTTCTTCTGGTGAGTAAAACAAGCCATTGAGAGATGAGACTTGTCAAAAACCAGTAAGTAAAACTCATCTAGCTGACAGGTCTTTTCCTTTATACGGTTCTTTTAACTGTCTTCTTCTATTCTCCTTACAAGCTGAAATTGATACCTTCAGTTTCTAATTCTAACGATGAATTCCATACAGGAATCGAATCACACTTCACTAACAACATATTTTTAATGATTACTGAAAGATTGATAAAGTTACTCAGTAGCGTGATGTTACTTTCAACCAATCGGATTATTAGGTATTGAGGCTGTGATTGACATGTTTTGAAGACTGACCAATCAGGATCTTAACATCCGCCTGGTGGATGCTAAAAAAGAGAAATACAATGGTCTCCTATCAGGCATTTCCTTCCCTTCCTCCTTGCGCACCCCTTAGCATTTCTATCGCGCCCAAAACTCCCTTTCCCTTCCCTTTCAAACGCCTGCCGCACAGGTTAACAAAAACCCGACCTTTCTTACTTCAAATTGCTGCTAGTCACACATCCAAGAGATATAATACTCATCACTCTCCTCCCCTCAATTCAAGGTTGTACCTTCAAGTTTTGAGCATGTTCTTGTGTTGCTAGCAACTAGGGGAGGTGGGGTGATCACAAGCACAGGGTCATAAGCAGGCCGGTCAAGCCATAATAATTATAATAAGGTACAGTGTCTCAAGTATTTTTGCAACTGGTTGCTAGACATGCGCAGCCGCTAGACTGCTAGATTGGTAAATTTAGCTTATATTACCCAGACATTTGTCACGTCGGAACGTTAAAGAACAAGAAGAAACACAAAAGGCGCTTTTGTTATTGAAAGAAATTCAAATAAGTGGCCGGGTATTTTGAGCACTTCAAATGGACAAGTTTAACAAAGTACCTGATCCTCCAACCATGTTGCTATTAGCTTCTAAGATCCGTCACCAAGTGTTGTTCAAGTCAGCCATTTTGATGGCAATGGAAATAACAGGGAAGCCTGGTGATGAGTAAAGCGCAATGGCTTTCGGGATGGATTTCAGAGCGCGCTGACTGCTGGGAACGCAATATGGTGGACGGCTGCCAGTGGCCACAATGTTGAACAGTCGAGTTTTCACCTCTCCTTCTTTGCTTTACCGTTCGTTTCCCAAGGTTTTGTTACTCAGAAGTGCAAGTTCGGGCTCCAACGGAAATAGTAATGATACAAATGTGTCATCATCGTCCTTGGTTGAAGATCAGAAGCACCCTACTGAAGGAACTGAACGCAAAACCGAATCTGCAGGTTTTGTATCCCAAGAGGTCAAGAAACAAGAGAATGCTTTAGATTCGAAAGAGTTGCCAAGTGAAGTCGTCCAAAGTGGGAAAAGCGGTAGTTTAAGGGCATCTTCTTTGCGGGAGAATCTTAAAAACTTAGGCTCAAAGCCTAACTTGGAGAGTGTTGAAAAGTTGATTATAGGAGAAAAATTGGAAAAAGATGTGGACACCAAGGAACAAAGAGAGCCCCCAGAAATAATTGATCCTCGTCTAAAAACGCTGGGAAAGAATTTTCCCCATGGAGGAGTGGGGGATAAGAAGTACAACAAGATTGTTCAGGAGTTAGCAGGTGAGGAGGCCGAGTGGAAGCTGAAGTCTGGTGGCTCATCCAGTCTCTTGGATTCATTGAAGTCTGTGGAAGGAATTGGGAATGGTGACATGAAGAGTTACCTAGAGAAGTCTATAGAAGAGACAAGGAGTAGAAAAAGAAAAAAGTTTGGAGAAACTTTGTTGTCTAGCAAAAGTAAGTCCCTGCCTCAGAAATCAGAAAGAAAATGGGTTGAAAGAAATCTTGAAGATTTAGAGAAAAGTCTAAGCAAGCCAGAGCTATCACAAGGTAAATCTGACCCTGAGCTGAATAATAAAATCAAAGATATCCTCTCAGAGTTGAAAGTTGCACCAAAGCAACTAGGAACAGCAAAAACCATTGTTGCTGCTGTGGAGAATTGGGGTAAGACATCATTTAACCTTTCACAGAATATCATGGATGAGTACAATGAGCAAACTGAGGAGTCACAGACTAAGTTAGCAGAGTATTCTCTCAAGGAAGGAAACAGACTTGGCCTCTTTGACGGCATTCTTAATGATGCAAAGGCCAAAAATCTGAAGATCCACCAGGGCACAAATACCTTTCTGATGCAATCTGATCTTTTGGAAGAAGCAGATAAGATCCATCAGATTGGGGTGTATCAAAATGCTTTTAGAGATGAAATCAGTCTTTCTGATAGACTTTGGCGGTATCCAGTGGATAATGAAGTTTGTAAGGTTCAAGAGGAGGGAGTTAGTTTTGAGGAACATGTATTCCTGGAATACCTATTGGATGACTTTCCAAGTAAAGGACCAGTGCGTCGTTTCATGGAGCTGGTCATCAATGGATTGCAGAAAAACCCTCACTTGACTGTGGAAATGAAAAAGGAACGTGTTGGATGGTTTAAGAATTATTTTTCAGATTTTTCTGAAGAGGAACTTAATTTTTGATCTGGATATTGGTTACAGGCTTTGAGACATACCAGTAAATAATGTTTTGAAAATGTTTTTACAGTGAAACCTGTATTGTTGACATTCTTACACTGTAGCAGTTTCACTACCCTGAATTTCAGCCATCTCCTTCAGGCTAGCCTACGCCACAGCTGAAACTAAACTCTGGTTAAGTCCATCTGCGAAACAGTGCAAAAATCCTTGTTCTGGGCCTCCGCCTGTGTACCAGGATTTGACAATGTGCCATGTCAATCAGCATGAAAGGAAATTTGAAAGGAACTTCTGGTAATTCATTGAGTCCATTAGGGACCCAGAACAAGGATCTTGGCAGTTCTTTGCAGATGTTACAAACCAAGGTTAAATTACAGCTGCAACACGGGCTACTTCAGGCTTGAGTCACAAACTCTCAAGACAAATGTCTGAACCAGTGAGTTGCTAATGCCATCTGGTAACATCACTCACTACCTGGAATTAAGTAGTGATTTTGATTGTTTGCTTGTGGAAATATTTTCTTGAGTATGATTATGTAATGATGATAAGTTTCAGCTGGACTGTCATTTGATATCTAGTGGATCAGGAAAATAGCCTTTTCCAGTTCTTGTCTTGAAAATTATGACTTGTTAAATTCGTCTTTAGGTGAAGTTAGAAAGAGCGGTTTTGGCAGTTTTGTCACCAATTTCATAGGCCTCAGTGATTGTTTATTTGTTTGTTTGTTTGTTTTTTGTGAGATAAAGAGCTTGTGTCGAGCTTGCAAACTTTTGAACGTCATGTCATTTCTGCTGTCAAGTGTACTGATTCTAAATTTTGTTTTTCTTCCCTTGCTTGCATCCTTCATGTAGAATGAAACAACTTTTGAGAAAATTATATGATCAGCATGTCGTGAGTGTGGGACAAGGAAAAAATCTGAGTCCCCATCAGGATTGGAACCTTTGTCCTCACAAACACCAGGCAGGCGCTCTATTCACTTGAGCTGCGGAGACCCCGTGAAGAGTGAGGCCATAATATTATACTAGGTTCATATTTCATATTTCTTTTACCACACATTGTGACATCGACATCGCTGATCCTAGCAGTATGCTGGTCGCGTGTTAAATATGAACCTATTACAACTGCTGTAGAATAAATGTTGCTGGAACACAGATGGTGTAGGAAGGTCCCTGATCTTTTTAGGAAGTAGATTTCATAACTTTGGGCCATTATACCTAATAGAATGCTTTCCATGTGTAATCGCATTATTAAACTTAGGTATTACAAATTCCTTGTTCCTCAGTGGATATTTGGTGTCTGTCCTCTGGAAAAGGTCAGCAAAGTATTTAGGACAAAATATTACTCTTAACCTTGTACATAAGACAGGCCATATCCCATAACCGTCGGTTAAGCAGGCTACACAGGTTAGCCATATTCAATAATGAATTTTTCATAACTTGATGATCTGTCAAAGTAAATATTTCTGAGTGCCCTTTCCTGTACTTGTTCCAATTTTCTACTGTCACTAGCATGGCAGAAGTGCCAGACAAGATGAGAATAAGTTAAGTAGGGAAAAATTGCAGCTTTGAAAAGCTGTAACTTAGTACCAGTGGGTAACAAGTTTCTGAGCTGCACCCGGACTCCTACACGCTGACTGCTTTTCTTATAGATTATACTTTATATTTAATCATCAAAATGAAGGTGCCTGTCTATTGATACCCCGAGTAATTTTAAGCAGTCAGTAGATACTACAACTTCATTGTCAATTACTACATTAATATTGTTGCCAGGCTCGCTACCAAGCAGCAGGACTCTATACTTATCAAGATTTCCTTTAATGAAGTTGGAAGTATACCACTCTGGAGCAACTTTAGCACTATGTGTAAGATTAGCATTAACAATCTCCATGTCACTGCTCATAGCATATAACTGATGATCATCTGCATGCATGTTAAGGTTAACATCAATATCATATGCAAGATCATTCTGATAGATGTTCCAAAGGAGTGGCCCAAATGCTGACCCCTGAGGGCATCCCCTGGACACCTTCCATTCACTTACTACTGGCCCCAGTTTGACTCTATGATAACGATCTGTAAAATAAGAGTAAAGAAGCTTGACATTATTGTCACCTACACCGTAAGCTTTAAATTTAGCTAACATGAGAGGTTGATATAAGAAAGCAAAAGCCTTACTCGTGTCAGTTGAGAGGTTGAGAGAACCCCAACAATTTTGTGTTCATCAACATCGAGCTTTTTTCCAATTCTCAGTTAACGACACAAGAGCAGTTTCACAACTATTTCTTTTCCTGTATGCAGTTAGATTATCACTAAACGGCCTACTCTCAAATTTAGTGCTTGATTGTTTACTGAGTAACTTTTGTTGATTGATTTTGATTGATTGATTGAATGATTGATAGTTTAGGTTGCCAAGTAAACGTACCTTGAAAGAATAAACAACCACGGGCAGTCTCAGGTTTTTAATTATAATTAGCATTCTAACACTTTTCTTTCCAGCGGCTCATCACGTATTCGTTTCCTTGCATTTTGAATACATTGAATAAAAAGAAGAATAACTGAGTCACTTAACAGCTTTATTTTTACGTTTTACAGTTAACATGTCGTGATTTTATCCATGTTGATAATATCACTGTATAGACGCCAGCTGTTAAATTTTCCATGATTCCTTCCCTTCTTCTAAGTTATCATTGGCTATTCCTTGTTCCATATTCCCACAGCCAAGACTTCTTGCAGCACGGCAAACCCTCATAATCTCCCTCTTAAGATATCACCGACAAAAAAAGAAGAAAGAGTTTCAAATGATTACCTGAATTAGTTTTCATGGTAGCCATGCTAAAAAAAAATAAACAGAGTTTATTGTATATAATAAATATTTATAATTTAGATGTTCACCGGCGAAGCCAAGACAGTGGTCTCTTGCAGTGAAAGAGCGGAATAAACCAGCAGGTGAACTACTCAAATCTTGAGCGCATGGATATTTAATACAAATCTGTTTGGTGGGCCACCGAATAGGTGACCCACTCATCAGTTAATCTCCATTCTTACTCTGAAGCGTCAGGGTCTACATCAACAATATGATCACGTGAAGGAAACGGTTACAATTTCAAAATTTTATGATGAACGGCAGCAGCGCTAAGAGCACACGCTAAAATTACTGACTTTGACATGTTCAATTAGACCTTAGGATAAACTTGCGTCGATGGATGTCTGTACATGCTGAGACGAATTCATTACGCTTGTTTTGCCATTGTGGCCAAACTGGCCTAGTATGAATAACAAAATGCACTTTTCTCTAGCTATAACGCTAATAATAGCGCAAGTTTAAAAAAAAATGGTTAAAAATCACCGGTTTTGCTCATTCACAAACAACAAACAAACTTGTGAATAAAGCTGCCAACGATTCCGCCCGGGTTAGCGGGCAAGAGGCGTAAAAAACTGCCCGCTCTCGGAACCAATCAGATTGCAGGATTTGGAGGATTCCGTCCGCTCGCAAGCTTAGAGAAAAATAAATATAGATTTTTTAAAAAACATGTTTTTGGAAGTTTGCTGCTGGAAGTTAGTTTCCCAAAGGGAGTGGCCACAAACGACAGCATAAAAGGAAGGGTGCGTCTTTTTATCATTGAATAGGAAAGAAAAATAAATGCAGCCCAAGAAAATGCCGCACCTCACTTTTGCAGTCTTTGTAAACATCAAAACCGACTACTGAAGAAGGCGTGAATTGGGTGAGATGACAAGTATCATGCGTTTCTTAATGCATATCTTTCAGTACCTTTCCTGGGATGGGCCCTGAAAAGCAATCACCGTCTGTAACCAACGATGCTATTATGATCAGAGCAGCAAACACAACCTTGAACTGGTTTTTCATTGTTTTTTGAAGACAACGAAACCTCCAATAATTGTTTCCTCAGCACGTCAGACAAAACGTTCTGTCTCCCTTCGTATGGTGAAGAAAATGAGTCTGTTTATATATGTCCCTTATCGCCAATATGACAACCAGTTTGTCTGACCGCTCCAATCTTGATTAAGCACAGCAAACGCGTCATCCCGCCGGAAGCCGGTACTAGGCCTTGTGTTTATTAATGTTAGTCAGTAAGTGGAGGATTGCGATTCAGTTTCATTTAAGACTTCGCAATTGAGGACACCTGAAAGAAAAATGTTGTTTCAATGTCCAACTGGGACTTGTCCGGCTTATACTCTTCTCAACTTTGATGCCCAATTCAATTGCATGAATCTTCGGTAACAAAATGAAATTTTGGATCAGCGATAAAATTGAGACGAAAACATTTAATAACTGCATGATGAGATAAAGAAAGTGAGGCCACATAATTGAAATTAGTATAGCATACTAGTATAGAACATTATGTGAATGACTAGGGTGCCATTTGTTCTAAATCTGATCTGTTTCAAGACATAATATTGAAGTCTGAGGCGAAATTAAGTAACTGAATTGTCAGTCTTCGTTGGCGAGAACATGGTATGAGTGACTGGGGGGCATTTGCTTTATGGGGTTCCAGACGGAATTCATTGACTAAAATGCGAAAGACGAAGAGAGATAATACATTTAAAAGGATAAATGGTAGTCAGTTACCCGACTATTTAAGCGTATCTCTGAGTAAAAACTCCGATGTTCACTCAAGAAACACGAGAAATTGTAATGTGAACTTATTGTGCCCTAACTCTTCACAGGAACATCTCAGAGGGAGGACGCACCTTTGCTGTAAGAACTGTAAAGGACTGGAACAATCTACCCCGATCACTAAAAACAAGGAGGTCTTTGAAATCCTTTAAGGCTGAAATATTGAAAATAGTTTTAAATTCTCAGAAGTCAAAGGGATCGTTTGACCTAAATTCATGACAATAGATGGATATTGGATGCTCTTCGTTTTTAATAGTTTTTTATTTTTATTTTCATCGAATTCTAGAAACTTTTTATCGTGAATAATAATTTATTGCCATTAAAAGTAGTTTTTATAAATTTTATTTTTATATTTTTAGAGGGCCACAAGTTGATCA